CTCTCTCTCTCTCTATCTTCCTCTCTCTCTCTCTGTACCCCTCTTTCATTTCTCTCTCTCGCTCTCTCTTAGATAATCGGTACGGGTTCCGGTAAAGAATCATCTACAGAGTACCACATATGTATTTATATATATATATATATATATATTTCTATTTATTACATTTCTATTGTATTATTTGTCGTTATAATCTAATTGTGACGACTATATCTTGCCGGATCATGTTCAAACTTGCTGCTGATCATCAGTTTTCATCTGTTTTTATCTCAGAAATTATAAACAAATCTATGAAAATTTGCCATTGTGATCGATTCTTCTTTATTTTGTGTGGTAACAATCAAAATGTTTTCTCTCGAAACTTTCACTCTTTCTCTTATTTTTTTTTCTCAAGATTTTAATAAATTTTTCTATTTTTTCACACGAAGAAGGGATGTTGTGAGGTGATGTAGCAGCAAGACTAGAAGAGGAGAAAGGGAGGAAGAGAATGAGTAGCATTTGTTGACACACACATACACACACATACATACACAACGCTTGCTGAATCGACGAATTTTTAATTTGAAATTGTTTATTTCGAGTTAAACAAGACCCGTATTGCTTAAGTTATGTACAGATAACCAACTATTTAAGGAATATGTGTGTTGGAAGTGAAGAGGGGAGGGGAGGAAGGGTACGATGGATTATACTTATAAACGAATTCCTGAATGATGACATTGAAGCATTTCTCCAATGACATTCCCGCAAACGATATGTTGAAGACCTAAAGCTGTTATGCCTTTAGATGGACGACAAAACTGCTCACATTGAGGGCCACTAAAAAGGAGAAGTTGAGTTTTTCAAAGATACTTCTGTAAACACTCGTACCTCTTTCGAGCAACTCCCTTATATGTACAACATTCTGTATTATCATGTCCTTGTGCCGCACACTCCAAGAATGGTTGAACGTTTAGTATACCACATTGTCCTCTGTCCATAGCTGCTCTAACCTAAAGCAATCAAAGTTACAAGAACCAATCAGAAGTTCGTTCATGCCTCCGCCTGAGTAATATCGTAACGACAGAGCTGCAAACATCCATGTGGCATATTCTTTGCTTGACAGCATCTCAAAAGTTCTGAAAAAAACACATTCTCAGTTAATTGAATCAAAATTAATTCCAAGTTCGCCAAACCTGTACTTGCTACATTAGCGGGAACACAAGGCCGAAAATCAGGAGCAACACCACATCTAACAGTAGGTGGTTGAGGTGGAGGTGGAGGTGTCAGGAATGGTCGATGAGTTAATGGTGGAACAACAATGCCTGATGTCGTTCTTGTTAATTGAATCAAACTCGGCGTTGTCTAAAAATAAAAAAAAATTTTACTTCACTGGACATTTTTTGAATATTTACGTTTTGGACAACATTCGTATCTTTGTTATGAACTGGGTTTGACGGCTTCACATTAAATGAATTAATTACGTGAGGGAATCCTGAAGCATATTATCAGTCAACGAGTAAACTTGTGTTTGTTTACCGTTTGAGGAGAATTTCTTTCTGTCTTTGCTGGCAATGCCATCGACAGCGAAATTAGGAATTTGTGCTACTCCTTCTTTCACATTTGATGTTCTTCTTAGAAGTGACACTGATAATGAATTATCTGGGGGTCTGCAAGAATTATTTTATAAAATTATTTTTTGTCATCATCTCCTACCCTAGTGCTCCTGATTTGTGTAATTTCTGTTCAGTCTCTACAAACTCCTCTCTGTTCCAAGATGACGTTGGTAGAAAGACGCCACCGGTATTGCTCACAATCATCATTTGGCCATCTGAACAAGAATACATTAGTCTTTTAATCATCCACTTAACAAAAAATGAATTTGCTAAAGTAGAAACTTGAACGACCGTTCATTAATGTTTAAAAGTTGAAAAGCGAAATGAGGCTGACTTGTCAGTTGAGAAGATGACGCAGGTCCGTTCCACGAAGTAACAGTTGGAGCTGTTTTGATATTATCTTGATCAGATACATTTTCTAATTCTTCAATATCATAATCACCAATGATTACAAGAGATTCTGGAGGACGAATAATACGGGGATCGGGTGTTGTACGTTTACGCGAACTGGTCGTACGCTGTAAAAAAAATGTTTAGTTGAACGATATGCTTTTAAGTTTTCTTACAGCCGTTCTCGGCACTGCTGTTGGCTGCAGCGTAGTCCATTGGCTTTCATCTTTATCCGAAATTGATTGTATATCGTCAATGCTTGGCTCGAATGGAATGAGGGTTGGATATTTAGTGGGAAGGGATGTTGTGGTTATTGGAATGGACGAACGAAAATGTTCCGTCGAAATATCCACAGGAACTGATGGTGGGGGAGCCAAGTCTACAGTAACTTCCTCTTAACACATTATATTTGATAAGATTATAGTTAAGATTAACAAGATGAAACCTGGTCGAGATGAAGCATGGATTGCAGCACTTCCATCTCGGGAAGTACTCTCTTGGTTAAGGTCAGCAGAGAAGACTAGAATAAATCAAAAAATTCACAAAAGCATTTAAAGGATTAAAATTTGAAAATCAAACAAGTTTGAAACTGACGTTTTTGGTAAACTTGCTGTCCACACTGAACTCCATTGCATTCACGTTGACAATGGTTTCGAATACGTGTTGTACAACAGAATATGGAGTGAATACGTGAACAATCAAGTTGAGGCTTTGATATCAGCTGACATTGAACGAAGCCAAATATGGCACAAAACAGTAGCAGTTTCATTCTTAATATGCAATGTATGAGAATGAGAACTGATTGAAAGGAAGTACAGAATGAAAAGGAAAACACAAGCTTTTTCAAGTGATATCCTTATATGGCTGTTGTGACAATCAAATGAAATGGAACGAGATTCTCAAAGAAACAGAAAGGCACAAGAAGCTATGTGGGGGCGGACTGAAACTGGCTGATGATTCAAACACGGGAACGATGAAGTAAGGTGAGAGGATTTTTTTTCTCTAACTCTCTCATCTTCACTTACTATTGTTACTGTCTGATCTTTTAATTTCGATGGATGTACAAGGTGGTAAACGGAGAGAAATGTAAGCGCGCTTCTCCTAGCCGTTCAAGGTCAGCTTTTCACCTACGGTACATGAGGGGATATCTACTTGTATAGGAACTGCTTCAGAAATTTACAAAAAATATGAAAAAATATAATAATTTGTATGAAGCAGCATATCGCTTATAAATCTATCTCAGACATTACATGTATATATGGAGGAGATGCCGTAAGGACGAATTACAGCAAAACATCATTCGTGACGTCAGCCATTGCTAATAAGTGGATGATTCATATTATGGATGGGGGTAAAATGCCATCGAAGAGCGATCATTAAAGAGTTTAAAGCTTTGTTTCCGAAAGTAAAGGCCACATATAATAGAATGAGTCATGAAACTATTGAGGAGAAGAAGAAGAATCACAGAAAGCAAAATGATTTCATGCTAATTACTAATGAAAGGCAGAAGGGTAAACGAAGGTGGGGAGGTGGAGGAAGAGTCTTTAGAGTGCTTGACGAATTAGTAATAAACGAATTTTTAAAGTTGTGCCCAAAAGAATAATAGATGGACATATGTATGTGCATACTCTCTTAAACTATAAATGTATAGTTAAGAGAGAAGAGTGACTGAGAGAGAGAGAGGAAGGAATGACAAGATATTCAATAGAATCATCATGCCATGTATGAAAATGACTGGATGAAGTTGTAAATGTTGTTTCTCAAAGCTAAAAACCTGTCTAAAATTACAAGACGAGTTGTGACTTAATGCTGTTTCAACATATTTTGAGCAAACGACACTCAAATATGCTAATTAGGAGTTCAATACTGTTAACCAAACTTGGCAAACTCACTGACCTCAATTATTTGCTAATGAAATTGTTGAAAATAAAATAGTTTTTTAAGCTTTTTTTTTATGTATGTTGTTTTGGTCTGCAGGATAAGAATCTTCAGACACAACCGGTTGCAAGTCCATATATAGCTGAATGAAATTATGAAAACATCATAATTAACAATCACATATAGATAGCTAAACCTCAGCTTCCCAAAAAATGAATGCAACCGCTCAACACCTCCAATGATATTTCAAATATCTTATTTCCGTGAGAACTTTTGACGGGCATACGTGAAAATGGAGTAATTAGCATAAAGTAGCCTGAGGGAATCATAATTCAATTGTACTGTTCATCATCTGTTGTATACGACTGTGTATGTGTGTATCTGGGTCGTATTCCTAATTTTGAACATTAAAAGTTCAAAAAGTTCATATAAAGTTTGAATGACTTAAAAAAAGAAATTGTTTTTGACAAAAAGCGGACGACGTTGACAACGCAGACATACGAATGTAGAGGAGACGAAGATGATGAAGACGTTGAAGACGAAGACGACCAGAGGGAAAGAAGTACAATCAAAGGATGTTTATTTGTTTTTTTTTAATAAAACAAAAATTTCACACAATCATATTGTTTTTTGTCATTGAAAAGCTCAATAGAATGATTTATTCGAAAATTTCGGTTTTTTTCATTTCTTTTCTCCTTCGACTTTTAAAAAATCATTTTTCAAACATTTACATATTTATTTTTGAACAGTTTTTGACAGAATTTGAGCCTTCATTTCATCTCTGTTTGTCTTTTTTTTTCTTTTTTCCCTCTGCCTACATGCCAGATTCATATTGCTTTAGGTACATTTGGCGTTTTCTTTACTCAATCTTCTGACACAATAACCGACTGTCGTCTCTGATTCCGTCCGGCAACTGCCTTCTTCTTCCACCTTACTCAACTTCATTAGATCAATCAAGCTCTGTTATGTCTTAAAAGCTTATCCTTACTACTTCCTTCTATCACTGTCTAACGTACACACAAAAAAGATATTTTCATATCAAATTATTTGATCGAATTGATATGAGATGAGCTGCACTCATGTAGTTTATGTTTGTTCTTCTTGTCGAAATGGAGACGAAAAGAATTTTTATAAAAACTCTTTTTCTACCTGTCTCTTACTTCCCTCTCTCTCTATTTCTCTCTCTCTCTCTCACTATTCACTTTTTACTTTTTTAATCACCTCACACTTGGGCTATTTATCTTTATATTACATTTATTACTACTTGATTGTCTTCTTTTTTCCATTTTTTTGTGCAGTTGTAGACGTCAACGAAGACAAGGCTGATGACGAAGACGGTAATCTCATGATCACACAAAAACCGGAGAGTTTTCAAAGAGCTCAGTGGTTGTAATGAAAATGACTAGAATTATGAAAGTTCAGATGTTGTTCTAAGACGACAGAAGTTCATTTATGGCTATCATTCCGGCTTAACTCGTACTGAATGTTTGTACCCACCGCGATTGACAGGACGTGCGCAGGTTCTGCGAAGAGCGAAAAGAAGAACGAGAGTTGAATGTTTTCTAAACGGCATTCCGAAGTTTCGGAAGTTTTTTGTTTCTGTCTGATTCAACGTAAAAAGTGTTTTAATTTATAAAAAAATATGGATGTAACAATAGAGAAATGAGTGAGATGGTAGGATAGATGATGATAACCATCGTCTATGGATAAGATGTGCTGACGGTGCTTTCATTCATTTCGTTGTCGTCAACGTCGTCGTCGTCGTCATCTTCAACTGTTGTTCTTTAGCTTTATCTATCGATTACATCTTTCTTTTCCAACATCAGCCGAAAGAACTATGAATGATCATATGCGTGTAGTACTAAGAGAACAAGGGAAAATGGCAAGTAGAACTAACGAGAGACATAAAGAGAGAGAGAGAGTTAGAGTAGAATAGAGAAACGAGACGTTTTGATAACTTTTTTTTCCCTCATATTCGTATTCATCTTTTTGCAATCGTGCCCTCTCTCCTGTTAACAATGCTCATATTGTAACTCTGCAACCTGTGTTCAATGACCGTACAAACAGAAGTATCTGTGATTACAAGAGCCTTTCAGATCTTTTTCATTTCCAAGCTTTATCTGATTGGAGTGAGAGGAGAAGAAAAAATTACTTTTTATGCTTTTTTTCTATTATTGTTCTGCATTCTGTCTCTTTCTTTGCTCCTGTGTTATGTTCGTTTATGATTCATAATCGTACAATCTTGTGACAGTCCATTGATTCCTGTTTGTACCTCAGCAACTTTTCCTCTCTCTTACCTTCTTCTCTCTCTATCTCTCTCTCTCTATCTCTCCTCTTCTCCGCATCTCTTCTCATCTTCCTCTTACTATCTCTTTCCCTCTTCTCCTTTTTCATTTTCTCTCTTAATCCTTTTTTTTTTTTGAAAATTTTAATTAAGTAAATAGTGGAAGAATTCATCTTCAACTTATAGTTTCCATTATAATTATGTTTTTTTGCCTCATTTTCCCTCTTTAAGATTCCACATGAAGTTTTCTTTTATTTCAACGAACCTGTTATGGTAATCTGGCCACAACAGTTGCAGACACCGATTCATTTCACTTTTCGACTGCCCAATCCATCTAAATGAGTAGTTTTTGCCTCCATTTCCATTGTTGTTTTGAACTTATTTTTTTCATTTCAAATCATTTTTCTCTTCTTTTTCTTTTAATTCTCTTGTTAGTTTGTCACATATCATCTCAACCACTTCTTCTTCATTCAAAGTTTTCTTTTTCTCCTTTGCCATCTATTGCACGTTTCACGTGCATCACGTAAAAAACTCTTTCAGTCTCATTCTCAATATTTTTCCCACGTGTAGAGCGGTTGTGTAAAACGATAAATACATGAACAAGAAAAAAAAAACGTAAAATGTCCGTCTCCTTCTTCAGAGTCTTCGTAGTCTCAGTTTCATTTTCTTAACCTTGACCATGATCTTTGTCTTTCGAAAATTATTTTGTTCTTTAATTCGATTATATCACATCAAAATGTATCAATAGCTGTATGTGCGGATAAGAAGCTATCTGATTGAATCCATATATGGTTCTGATGAAACATTATGCAAGCTCTCCATCATTATTTTCATCTATCACTGTACGGTTGTCAACGATTCTCATATTTTTCATCAAAAATGACTTTTTATCGACGTGGCTATCAGCATGACGTCATCAAACGCTTGTAGACGTTTTTGCAACCCAGTGACGGTCTTACAGCGATTTTCATATGCATTAGCAGGCTATCCCCATAATAATTCTACCCCCCATCCTCTATGTAACATTCGTCTTGATCAACCAGATTTTCATTTGGAAACAGCTTTAACACTGATTTTCAAATTCATCAGAATGCCTGCGCAATAGGTCTTCAGTCGTGTGTATATGTGTCTCAGTGTGTATGTGTGTGTATGTTTTTCTTTTTTCTTTCTCGGAACTTTCACCGAACTGATTGTTACCGAAACGAGTAGATGTGTGAGATTGAAGCTTGCGCAGCATTACCGGTTAGACTCATCAAAAATAATATTATTTTTATTTTTAAAATAAAAATTTGAAAGACTTTTACATCGTTTTCCTTATCAATATCATATCAATAATCGATTTTATATTTGATATAGAAGGTTTTGTTACATGTCTGAACAAACTGGGAGGGCTTGGAAAGGCGCTAATACATTATTTTTTTTCTCTCTTCTTCACTCTCTCTATCATTACTCAAAACTGTTTCAAATAGCTTTTTTTTGAGACACATTTTAAATTTTGAATCAATCGATCATCACTCTATCGTCTTATATCGATACTGCTCTCACATCCACAATGACTATGAAGAACGCTCACTATCCATATACATCTATAGATTACCTATATTGTAAGAAACACATACACAACACAACACAACACAGCAGCAACAAGCATCATCATCAGCCAACCATCCCAAAAAAAACCTTTTTTTCTCTATTTACTTTCACATACCTCATCATCAATGGCCAAATAAACAAAACATTCTGACAAAATATGTTTTCATTCAACATATTCATTGAAAAATAATTGTTTAATATTCAAATCAACCTTATCAGTCTTGCTTTCGATCGATGATTTTCATCTATTTCATTCGATCTTCTTCTTTTTCATCTCTTTCTTTTACTCTCACTACCCCCCCCCCCCACCTCTCTCTTCGTCTTCTTTTGGATTTTTTTTTCTTCCCCAAAATACTTTTTCGCACGTATGAGAACGACTTCTTCACTCTTCATATATTCGCTTTGCTGTACTCAGATGAGAAAGATGGTTTTCTAATCTTGCAACTACAAGATTTATCAGTAACTATTCAAAACGTTTCTCTTTTGCTCACCAACGTCAGCAAATGCCAAAGTTGGAAAAGCTTTAACGACTTGCTGACTAAGGCTAGTTCGAAAAAGATCTTTGTTGCAAATCATTTTTTTCTTTCATTCTGCTTATCCTCAATGTTGCAAACTGTGTCATCCAACTCAGACTCTTATTTTCTTCTCTTTCAGACTTGATGATATCGTCAGCTCTACCATTTGCAGCACACTAGGTAAGACCACTACAACAGTTTAAAAAATGACAAAACGATTATGTAGTATAAAGAAAGTATAAGTAGTTTGGTGGTTGGGAAGAGAATGAGAGCGTATGAGATTGTAAGTGAGTGGTGAAGCTATAAGAATAAAACAATTCAGAAGAAATAGAAGCTACTGTCATCGTATTTCTAATGATTATCCGGAGTTCAGATTAGACGTTGATAAGAAATATAAGCCGATTGTTTCTCTTTTTAGTCCATCCTCTAATATACACGTGTGTATTTACATATTATTTAAAAATTAATTTGAATGTTCCAATTTAATATTTCTACCAAAAAATAGTTATGAAAATCAAAAGATCTTCATCTAGACGACGTCATGTGTAAGTTTGAAACATCTTCTGTTTGTATAAAGCAACTATCTTTCTCTACTTATATATGATTCTTTCATATTTAGAATGTCATTGAATACGGCGTATGGACGCAAACTTCAAGGTGGCATGAGCACCGATGGAGGAAACACGTCGTTATTGCATACTGGAGATATAATATCGTTATATACAGAAGAATCTTCAACTCATAGAGGATTCCTTAGTACACTAGGGCAAGTTGAAACTTCTTCTATTTAAATCATATATTGATATCATCTATAGATTAGTTGATGATCGTTGTATAGTTGAGCTTTGTGATGGACGGCCGGAGAGTCCGCCAAAGAAATTCAGAGGTTCATCAGCATTCATCTTAACTGTTTCAATTTCTTGCTCATTAAGATTGTTTATTCAAAGTTTGTCCTTTAAATCGTTACGCTGCTCAAAAGCAGTTCTGGACGGAACAGAAAAAATATGTTTCGGGAGAGTCGACGTTTGATGATGATATGATGAATAAGCTTCGGATTGCGGCTGAAAAGGTAAAATACGATGAAGATTTTTGTTTATGTTTTCTTAAATGACCATAAGAGTGTTAAACATCTTCTGACCAATGCTATTCATCGCCCACTCAGTAGTATGCATCTATGGTCTGATGACAATTTCTTCCCATCATAAAGCTAATATGAAAGCAGTGCCTGTCCCACAGTCTCGTTCTAATTCATTTAAACGATTAGTTTTGACGGGAGCGGCTGCATTCACGCACCTATCATATTTTCTAATCTTTTAATCTGTTTATTTTAGGAAAAAGAACAAAATGAATTGGAATTTCGTAAAACATTGGGAAATAGTATCCAATATGGTTCAGTCGTACAGCTACTTCATGTCAAATCAGACAAATATATAACAGTTCAGCGTAATTCTCCCGCAAAACGTGAGAGAAATGCAATGAAGGTGATATAACCACTTCAACAGAATAATCTCATTTGAATTATACACAGGTGTACTTAGACCGAGCTGGTAATGAAGGTAGTTGGTTTGTGATCGAGCCTGCATACAAGCATTATAGTATTGGGGACAATGTACGTGACAATTCATATTTTCACGAAGTTTTATCAAACATCTATAGGTCGCCGCTGGAAATAAGATCTCATTGGTTCCTTATTCGTCAAATAGTCAAGCTTCAACAAATCATACGAAGCCTCAATTGCATATGAGTAATTTGAAGTTGCTTGACCGTGATACGGCAGCAGAGGTTTCAAGATCTCCAATTCTGATCTTATTGTAATCTTAAGGTGAATTGCTTGAATGAACCTACAGAATGGCAAGTGTTCATGTTCTTGCTGTTTAAGGAGAACCAACCCGATAACGTTAAATCTGTTAGTTCATTAAGTACATTTTTCTTCTGACTTATGTTGTAAAGGGAGATGTCGTTCGCTTGTTTCACGCCGATCAGCAAACTTTCTTAACATTAGACACTGTTCCTACTAATAGCACAGATGTAGTGTTTCTAAGAATGACCAACCGACCTTCGGCTGCAGATGCAACAAGTTCAAGAGCTTTATGGGAAGTTCAGGTTGAATAGGGAATGAAGCACGAATAATCGAACAAAAACATTCAGGTTGTACAAAAAGATGCTTATAGAGGAGGGTCAGCAAAATGGTGGGAGTCATATCGTTTCAAGCATTTAGCCACTGATCTATACCTTACTGTTTCGCCTGAAGGACCTATACTCGAAAAACAGCCTCAACGTTGGGCATCTGATAGACGGCAGAGCCTAATGTATACGAAGTGAGAAATTTGATTAAGGAGAGCTTGACGAGTATTTTTTCTTCAGGCCTCGAGATCTTCTTCAACCACCTAGTGTAGAAGGCGTACCAGGTTTGCAGCCAGATGATGTGAATTGTATATGTAAATGTTCTAGTCGAAGCATCATCATCCTCAGGTCAGCGGTACTTAGTTCCGGTACAGGGAGATTTTCCTGAGGAGAACGAACAGCTTCTGTTCCATCTGAATGCAAGTACAATAACTTCCGTATGTTATAATTTCTTTTCTGAAATTTTCTATGAAACATCTTAGGCTATGGAAGTTCCGGCAAAGTCATTCGTTCGTCTTCAACATGTTGAATCTAAGACATGGGTACATGCCACTAACCCATCAGAGAAACAGAATCTTTACTACAACAGGTTCTTCTTTGAAGCATCCGATATTTTTATTGAAAAACTTCAGCAAAAACGAGAAAGGATGGGTCAAAGTTGTTTGTGAATGTAATAGAATAGACAAAGAAACATTTGCCCTTTTACCTGTCTCACCAAATGAGGTAAGACGAGCATATCTGATTTTGAAAAATTGTTCGACAGGTTCGTGATCTGGACTTTGCCAATGATGCATGTCGTGCATTGAAAAACTTTATCGATCTGATAGAGAAAGGAGACCCGGTGACAAAGGAGCCTATAATGTAGATTATAAGGAATAAGCTTCCAAACTGTTATTATTTCCAGCGTTACCATTCAGTTGTTAACGGAATGTATTTATTTCGTTACCAACACCACCAACCATATGATCGATCCTTTGAAGATCTGCGATTTCTCACCATCTCGGGACCGTCAAAAGTTACTTCGTGAGCAAGAAGTGCTGGATCAGGTAGTTTCAGATGAGTATATTAAAATATCGATTTGTTGTTGAGGTTTTCAAACTTCTTAAAGCACCTTTCCAACCAAGACAAGGAAGAACAGAGAATGAGCCATTGTTGAACTCACCTGCCGAGTTAAGAGATGGTCGAAATGAGATATTCAAGACCATGTTCCAACTCAGTTATTCTCTTTTGAAGTAAGATATCACAATGAGCTTGTTCATCATTAATGATTTTAGGTATTCACAAGAGAAATATCGTAAGAACCAAGAGTTCCTTGCCGAAAAGTTTGGTCAAATTCAGGTTAGTTGCATTAATCATTTACGAAGTCTGATGATGATTCTTTGAAGGAGCAAATTGGTTTCGATCTCATGGCGGAAGATACAATGACAGCTGTACTTCATAATAATCCAAAATTACTGGAGAAGTATGTTAAGACACCACATGTAGAACGATTCGTCGAACTTGTTCGTAACAATCGACAGGGAAAGTACGTTTGCCTTGCATACTGTCAAACGTTATGTTTATTTGAAGATTCCTGGATTATTTGGCAGATTTATGTGTGTGCCGTGGAGAGGCAAACAAGAAAATTCAAGAGCTTATATGTACTTCCGTACTTAGCGAGAGAGATCGTGATATTCTGATGGAAACAAAAATAGTTAGTACCTACATTTTAGTTTTAACGAGTAAATGAACATGGAACCGGTCTTCCTGAACATGACTTGGTCTATGAACGCAACTGCGTTTGCTCAGTTGTTTCTATAGTTTGAAACCGAAACAATAAAAACTTCAAACTGAGAGCTATAGCTCATTTATAGTATTTGGAAAATAATAGTCACCCGTTCCAGGTTGATGACGAAGTGTACATTGGTTGGCAAGATAATCTGAGACCTCTGTTTGAGTTATCCAACTCAGCCAAGAAAAATGCCGAAGATTCAGATTTGCTGGATTATTACAGGTTTTTCAGGCTTTTCTCAAATGATAAAACATATCAATTCAGACATCAGCTAGATCTGTTAGCTCAGATGTGTCAAGAACAGCAGTACCTTGCAATTGATCCACCACCCGAGAGAAGGCTGCTCAATATTTCTCATGAATTGCCCATTGACCTGGTGTTAAGGTTCATATTTTCTTTGTAATTGTCACTTTGATGAATTAATTCATTCAGATGTATGTCTGATACAAGGTTACCTTGCGATTTGAGAGCTTCATTCACAAGACTCATGCTTCACCTTCATGTTGTGCGTGGAAGTCCAACTAGTGCTATTCGCCATGCTAGGCTTTGGTGGGAAATTTCTGATAGCATAGAGCTGGAAACGTTAGTTTACGAATTTAACTCGAAAACTATGGCATCTTAGATACAAAACTTATTCTGTCGAAGGATACGCTGATGGAGGAAGAGTACGTGTCACTGATAGAATCGGGAGTGTTCTGAAGACAGTTGAGCACTATTTGGATTCTTTACGTCAGGAAAATCAAGGTGGGCCAGTGCTCTCACTTGACTCTAAGAGCATCAATAAGAACAAGCTGACTAATGAGGTATTTCGGATAACCTCTTCTCTGTTACACTCATTGTATTAAGATGGTGACTTTGGCAAAAGCTCTTGCACAGTTCGGGTATTATACTTTCTACGGGTTGCTCCACCTATCACAGAATTTGTTGGCTATTGCTGATGATTGTCCTCATGATTCGCAAACAGGTTACTTATCTTTTATAATAAAGTTAACTAGAAATCTGTTTTTAGCGAGAACAGTTTCGCATGGTATGAACATGATTCATCGGGTTACGCAAACGATGATAGGTACGAGACAGAAGGAACCTCAACAAGTGCGGGCAGCTGAACCCATGGAGGATACTTCTAGAAATAAGGAAAGCAAGAACCTCCTTGTGCGTACAAAGTTGACTATAGCCGAAATTCTACAGGTATTTTTGTATACTTCATGACCTAATCAACGTTTATGATATTAGTTTGTCATGGACGTTCGTAGAGATTACCGAATAACAATGGCATTAGCATGGTTCAAGCAGAATTTCCCCTGCGATCAAAATGGGCTTTTGACTCAATCAGCAAGTATGTGATTGAAAAGTATTTTGTATCATGTAATACCACTTCTAGATGTTAATGAGAGAGTTGTCAAAGATTTGTACGACGCTATTTATCAATCTTCTGGTCACGAACTCCATTTAGATGGTGCTGATGGTCAACTTCTTTTGGCAATTCTTCTTCAAGTTTACATTTTCTTGTTTTCGTATTGATCATTAACATTTTAGATGACAATGTCTGACTACGCTCCTCTCACGAGCATAGCTTTGAAAGTGCTTTTCAGACATTTCACTCAGTATCAAGAGCTATTAGAAGATCTCAAGCAAGTAAGTGTCGTCTGAAAAACTGAAAGTATAGTTCTCTTTCAGGTACAACTGCTAGTTTCGACAGATGATGTAGAGAACTATCGCCAAGTTGATAGAGACTTATTCATTTTGAAAAACTTGACAGAAAAAAGTGAACTGTGGGTACATGGTAATCGGCATCATTCAGTAGAGCATAAAGAAACGATGGAAGATAAAACGTACTTTTTTCGTGCTTTTCTATCATATAAGTTATCTGTTTAAGAACCAGACGAGATTTTGAAGATCATTCTCTCATTACACCCAGAGCTTTCTGCGACGACTCCTTCAAAGATGTTACTGATGTTATCGATAAGCATTATCAGTCTACGCGATCAGAATGTCTACGTTTGTTGAAAGATGTGAGTTTATAGTATGTTGTTCTATAAACATTAAAATTTAGTTGCTTGTCAACGATGATAGAAATGTATCTGCGTTGGCATTGCAAGAACTCAGTGATCGTGCTCCTCTGATTGCCTATCCTTTGATACGACAAATTTTGATTCGTGTCGAAAAGTTGTGTTACAAAGACAATCGACCGGACACAATGAATCAGCAGCTTCTTAAAAACATGCGTGTCTACGAAGTGGTGCTGGAGTTTCTGAGTATTCCATATGATAAGAAGAATGATGCTGAAATGCCGGAATTGATTACTAAATCGCATAAGTTCTTGAGAAGTTTTTGTAAAGCTAATAAGGAAAATCAAAATCGCCTCCAAAAGTATATAACCATCGAGAAGGATCCGAAAGAGGGAATGTTGAGACTGGAAACGGTATGTTTTACCAAATCGGGCTCAGCTTCGTAACATACATGTCTTTAGGCAGAAGAAGGTGAAACCTGCTTGGCTATATTCAAAAATAACCGTGAATTAGCTACGAATGTATCTGATGATCTGATAGCTCATGTTGTCAGTCTCATTGAGCACAAGGTAGAGATCCATCTATAGTTCAATCTAGTTTACCTTTTTTCAGTCAAAAAGTCCCATCTTCTTAGAACTTCTACAGTCTCTCGTATGCGTTTACGACAAAGAAATAGAGTCAAGTCAGGAGAAAGTAGCAACTGAGGTGAGAATTGCATATGTTGCTCATGATACTGAGTTTTCTTAGCTTTGTGGAGCTTCTGATGAAGTGAGACAGCTTTATGTCGATAAAGTGTCCTTCGAGCAGTTCGAAAAGATAATGGAAAGTGTGAAGACAAATCCGAATGACAAGGAATCACATGTTGCTCTTCGATATCATATCGAGCTTGTTAAGTGAGTTAATCACGTCAGAATCTTATTTATTTGTACGGCGCAACTTGCTCTCAGTTATTTTTATCATTTTTTCATTATTTTTTTTACAGATTGATGGCTCTTTGTACTAGAGGAAAGAATGGAAGCACCGAGCTGAAATGTGCTTCTGAAATTCCTATGGAACATATCGTTAGTGTGGTAACATCTGAACACTGTATCGTCGACGTAAGTATCCATGAACATCATATGATTCAATAAAAATGTTCAGGTTAAAATGGCATACTTCCAATTCTTATTACATTGCTACATCGATACTGATGCGGAGATGAAGGATGCCTACAAACCCGAGTACATCGAAGCTTTGCTCAACAACATACTTTCTGATATAATAGAAGTGCGTTTTCCTTTCGCATCTATTTTTTTTATTAAATTTCTTGAAGTTACGGAAAGAATATCAAAACCAACCTATAACGAAAGAAGAAATTTCTGATAGACAAACGCTGGAGACTTATATCTGTCACACCGTCACTGAAACTTTGATCAAGCTGTTTGAGAAACCTTATAGCGCTCAAGCTAAGGTGGACATTGTTGTAAGACTGTCTCAGTTGTTGGATTGCTCAAGACGTCTTTTCAGCAACATCAGAAAATATTCTCCGCCATTTTGCAAAACCTAACCAACTTACAAAAACATCATCTGATTCAAGCCAAATCCACCAAAAACTGGTATCGAGTATCTGAATGTGTAAAACGTCTAGGAAAATGGGGTTTGTTGATCGGTCTTTCTTTCTTATGAATTTCGTTATGCAGCCGAAGAGCATAATCTACAGCTGTCAGCTTTGAGTATACCTTCCATGTCTTCCAAACCAAATCCGAAACAAAGATGGCAAAGTGCTGTTCATTCGGCTAAGTTTATCGGAATCAACACAGTAAGTTTATATCATGCATGGCTTTTGAGAAATCCTTCCACCTATCCTTTGCCTGAAAACCATCCTTGAATGAACCGTTTTTAGCAAGTTCTGACACTTCGTAACCGAACTAATAGTTTAATGATGCCTGGGCCTCGATGTATTATTACTGGATCTGGTCGAGACAACGCTGCCAACGTTGTTAATTGCTATCATGTATGTGCTTTTCAAAAACCTATTAGGCATGCAGGCTACCTACAAGAATGTTTGGGCAGACTGGTGTAGCTTGACAGTGAATGGTTGCATGCGAAACTGAAGCATTCGTTATCTTAAAGCTTGCTATCCCAAATCGCTATTCTTCAGATGATGATAGGAGAGTTCAAATTCTACTTATTACCACTGAATGCAGCTGAAGGAAGTGTTCTTGTGGATGTTCTTCATATGCCTGAGCTCCTCTTCCCCGTAGGATCAGCGTTGCGAGAACAATGTGCTCGCGGAGGAGTTGTCACCAAGTAAACCATTAGTTTCAGACTTTTCTATTTATGATCTTATTTCAGATTGATTCAACATTGCAAAACACTCATGAACAACAAACAGGATAACTTATGTACCAGAGTTCTACAGACCCTTTGCAAGATGTGCAATAGTACTAGTAACAACTTCACCGAGCAGGTTGGTATTCGTTTGAGCTTGTTCAAATTGTTTTTACAATTGATACATCACTTTGTTGAGTAATAAAACTTTTCAGAAGAAAAAATACTTGAAACAGCCCGAGAAGATGGTCCGTTTCTGATAGTTTTGATCTTTGCTTTTTTTAGTCAATTTCTTGCACTGCAAATTACGCTTCTCTTTCACAAAAAGCTATAGAAATTTCTCTAGTTTTTAACATTCAATACTTCACTTCTTCCTTGCACAAGCATAACCCATCTGAATATTTCATTTAAGGGTCATCAACTTCGATCTAAGTTATTGAATCGTTACTTCGGCATTTATGGCAACGGCAAAGTTGATGAAATCAGTGGGCTTAAGAAAACCAACCTAAGTAAGTTTGTATAATGCTCTCTCTTTGCTCATCTTTTTTTCACAGATGCCGCAGAAGTTTCTGATATAAACCATCTTGCTGAACAGACTCTGTATGATATCCAGTGCAAGCTCAACGACGCAGGAGCCTCTGATCTCGTTGTTGATATTGTGATAAACGATCCTTCTCAGGAAATCTTCTTGAAAGCCATGCATTTAGCCAAAGCTTTACTACATGGAGGAAACGATAAAGTAAGATAACGGTCATGTCATTGATAACTAGATTGATAACTGATTTGAGGTCCAACAATCGTTCTATCGTCGTCTCAAATCTAAAGATATCCATGAACCTTTCTTCAAAGCAATCTCAATGAGGATTCAGACAGCTCAGAACCGTCTTAAGAGTGATATGATGTCTTGTGTTGACAACAAACCGAAAGCAGGTTTGTGGTTTCGTTTTACTGATTCAAAAGCGTCAGCGGAGTTTTTGTCTTCACCATACTCGCCAGAATCTTCCTAACGATGGGTAGGAAGTAAACGCATGCTCAGGTTAACTCTAATTCATGCTAACTCAACGCTTTGCTATCTGTTCTAAACTTATTTTTCTCAGTTCTTAACATAACAATTAACAAGTCATTATTGCCTTCTAAAAACATGCTATTCAGGTGGTACTTCAGTCAACGTCAGTAGAAGATGTAAGTTGATTATTGAAAACTGTTAGGTTTCCTACATTTTTTCTGCCAGTCTCATTCCCTCCCTACCCCTCCCTGTTTCCTGTGTTCACATCAAGAGGTTCACAGTTATGCTCAAACTCTCATTCGAACTTTAACTTTCGAAAGTGAAGATCTGGCAGAAACTATGTTAACTATTGAATTAATGTTAAAGCTATATCTCTAATTGATTCAAAATGTTCATACGTCTCACCCTTGTCTCATGTCCAGGTTCACCCAGAGGAAGTTTCATGGACTTCTCCTCGTCGTCGTCGTATCGTCGTTCTGTGTCTCAGGTGCTTCGACCAACTTCTGCGCGGGGTTCCCGTCATTCTACCATGCTTACAAGTTTGTTTCATGCTTCTTACCAACTTCGATATCTCTGATTCCTCTGCTAGCTATTACACCTGTAGTACCGATTCCCACCGCTTATGCATTTCGGATATTACCGAAAGCACATCACAATATTTCTATCGCGAAATGATGTGAATCCCTTATGTTAAACCCTTCGTTTGCATGATCTTAGCACACGAGAAAACTTTTTTAAGATTATTCTGATTGCCTCTTTCTCTTTTTTTGATTCCAATTGAAGCATATCTTCTCTTCAGCATCAACAGTTTTGACGCCGGTGAACTTGGATCAAAACCTTGATTGTCCATTCAATGGATCCGTGTATGAGGGAGCCATTAGACAACCTTCAATATCCGAGTTGTCAAACGTATCTGGTGAGGCAACTATAAGCGTTCCGGACCTAACACCGTATCAAGATGATGACAGGTATATTGTGCTTTTCATATTCTGGAAGCTTCCAATGTTATAGACCTAGTGATGCATTACCGAGTGAAGTTGCCTTGATTGAACCGATCTTCCGTGTCCTCCAATTGCTCTGTGAAAATCATAACAGCCTCCTCCAGAGTTTCGTTAGGAAACAATCAGATAGAGCTAATCATAACTTGGTCGCAGAAACATTGAGCTTTTTGGATACTGTAAGAATCATTCAATGCTCTATGGGCAAACTTGCTTTGTTTCAGGTTTGTGGATCTACCAAAGGAAGCCTGGGTGTGTTTGGTGAAATTGGTGAACATAACTTCAGTTTAATAACACAAACGTTGGCAACGTTGACAGAGTTCTGTCAAGGGCCTTGTCATGAGAACCAGGTAGAAACTCGGAAGTTCTTCAGCATCTCATGTCTCTTATCTAGAATACCATGGCTATGCAAGAAAACGGACTCAATATCATCATTTCTCTTGTGTTGAATGACATAAAGCCCTTAGCTGACGATCACATGGAACTAGCTCTCGAAATAAAGGTTCGTACGGTAGAGTATGAATATCCGCAAGCGCTTATTTTTTAGAGTCAAGCTTCAAAACTTCTGCTAGCTATCATGGAATCTCGACACGATTCTGAAAATGCAGATCGAGTTCTTCAAAACATGAAAAATATGTCTGGAGGGCCTCGGCAACTGGTACATAGAATCTTTGTTTCTAATTTTTTTGGCTTCTTGTAGATTCATGCTATCACGCAGGCGTACTGTATGACGAATTCAAAGCAGTACGAAATCAACCAAATGAAGAAGCAGCTTTTGCAATCAGCAACCATTCAACATCGACCTCTGAGTGTTCTGAGTCCCCGAATCAAAACTTCTGATGGTGAGTTCATAAGTGATTTTGTTATTGAGAACTCACTTGTAGTCAATCTTCCTGAAATCTCAATTGACGCTTCCGGCACGGTTTCGATTCATGATGAACCAAGCAAACATGATGAACAGTTCCATTCCGGTATGCAGCATGACGAGCCTCACACAACTGTTGATCCAAGAGAAGTCGGGCACAACATATATATCTTGGCTCATCAACTAGCCCGGCATAGCGATGAGTTGGCTCAATGGATGAATCCTGATGATGAAAAGAAGGATGAGCAAACAAGAAACGCTCTTACTTTCTATAAAAAGCATACTGCTCAAATTGAGGTATATCTCGTCATCATCCAGTGTTTGTTGTTCTACTCGTACCATTCCAGATTGTTCGTAGAGATCGTACTCTTGAGCGCGTGGTGTTCCCTATCCATGAAATATGCTCTTATTTGACCAAGGAGACCAAGCTAGATGTTTACAACAATACAGAAAGAGACAACCAAGGGTCCAAAGTCACAGAGTTTTTCGATCAATGGTCCGATCTCTATGAAGAGATGAAGTGGCAGAGGAAGTTGCAAAGTATACAATACAATGTCAGCAAACCATATAATGATGTTCTTTAGATCGTTACTACCTATCGGCATGTACAAGACGTTTGCGGCTATGGGCTAAACTTTCATTTGTGTATGCAGTGGTTATTAATCTCATAATTGCATTATACTACCCATTCGAATTGAATCAATGTAAGGTCTTCTCTACTTGCTCAAACAGAGACATTCCTTTCAGCTCATCTCTCCGTTGCCAATCCATTCGTTTCCATTTCCTGCTTATTATCTTTGATTTTACTGTATTCTCAATGGGATGCAGAGTTAGTACCTTACCCAAGAATGGTCATTCACAACTATTTTCAGATCGACCTTAGCGAAGAAGTCTAAAATTGTGACTGCTTTAGCGACAGTTCTGATAAGTTTTACAATATTACTAATATCAGTGGTAGGGGTGGTACCAACTTTGAAACTCATTGGGCTATGTCAGGTATAATAATTAATCTTATGAGCTATTAATGAATGTTCTTCAGTTTATAAACAAAGCAATACATGTCATTGCTTATGTGAGTAACAAAGGATTGGAAGATCGAAGTTGGAAAGAACGCGTATCGGATAAAGAAATGTATTATCATATAGCATATTTGGTTATGTGTGCATTTGGATTACTAATACATCCTATGCTTTATTCAATTTTGGTATGTTTCGGTTATAATTAGGAATTCATTTATGTTCTTCAGCTGTTCGATATTGTTGCTTCTGAGGAAACCTTGCGGAATGTTATTAGCTCTGTAACAAGAAACTGGCAGTCTATCATTCTTACTGGTCTCTTGGCACTCATTCTCGTCTACGTGTTCTCTATAATCGGTTATACATTCTTCCAGAAAGGTTTATCTCATACTCTTTGTGTCTTACATCATTCAATCATGTCTAGATTTCGCTCTTGAGATTGATAGTCCTGAAGAGGAGAAACCCGTGACGTTGATGTCATCAAATCCATATAGTGAATCTTGCTCAAAGCTTGGTGAGTGTCCTACAGAAAAAAGCGAAGGAGATGAAGAAGGTTGAAAGGGATGCATGGAAAGAGTTAACTGTTCCGATTTAAGAAAAGAAAATAGCAGCGTGTGATACTCTACGGATGTGTATCATCACTACTCTGAACTGGGGACTTCGCAATGGTGGTGGAATTGGAGATGTAATGAGAAATGTGGGACCACACGTAAGATCATCACAATCTTGAAGTCTGTCATTATTCTATATTTTTCAGGAAGATTTGTTCTTCTACCGTATATTCTATGACTTATCATTCTTCGTCGTACTTATTGTTATCGTATTGAACCTAATTTTTGGTGTGATTATTGACACTTTTGGAGATCTCAGAACAGAAAAGAATGATAAGGAAGATATTTTAAAGAATACTTGTTTCATCTGTGGGCTAGAACGAGGACGGTATGTTGTTCTTCAACTGTGTTATACTCAAATTGTATTTTTCAGTTTCGATAACCGCACTGTGAGTTTCGAAGAACATCAATTAACAGAGCATAATCTCTGGCATTATTTGTATTTCATTGTTTGGCTCCAAATTAAAGATGAGACCGAATTTACTGGTCCAGAGAGTTATGTGGATCAGTGTATTCAGGTAAATAATTGAATTCTCTCTAGTCTTTTCAAAAAATTGGTTTCAGGAGAGGAATCTCGATTGGTTCCCTCGTATGCAAGCCATTAGTTTACAAGATGAGGACGGCGAATCAGATCAGTCTGAGCTTGTTGCTCTCAGAGAACAGCTTAAGTTGGCAACCAATAATATGCAAGACGTGTATAGCCAACTTGAAGAAATTAGACAGGTATGATCAGGTTTCTATTGTTCTCAATTCAAGATGGTGTTCAGATGCTTGCGTCAAGGTCCGACTAAACTTGAGCAGTTTTTTTTTCAAATCATATCATAGGACGGTGTTTTTCATGATCTTACATGTGATATTTAAATTCAAGTCAGTTTTAGGATTGTTATTTTATTCAACAATGTTTCTCACTTATTTTCGGATGCGAGTTTACAATCTTGTCACGTTTTTCCTTTCATATTAATAAGTTCAGTCTTCGGATAGTTGTTTTTATACTTTTTTATCGTTATTTAAGATTGCAATTAAAAATAAAATTTATTCTCAAAAGACGACTAAGTACAATATGCTTATGCATCCAGTATTCCGTAAATACAAAACAGAGGTAGGGATGGTTATGTACATAAAAGTGTTTTATTAATACAAGGTATTTACAAAACTCAAAGAGAAAACGAGTTCCATAGGATCAACTAGTGCTTAATCATAAACCTCCACAGCACTTTGGGATTAGGAGTGAAGATCATTGAAACGGCAAAAGCAGCAAGTGCTGGCAGAACCATTGCCGGCGTAATCTTCCTCCTTCATGATATGAGAGTATACAATGAGTGAGAATGAAAACTAACCTCCAAATAGAAATGATCATCGTAGCCATAAGTCCACCGAAAACAGCATAGAAAGTAAAATCGAACAAACGAGGATCGTACATTGAGCTGTATTTCAAAACCAAGTTCAAGAATATGCCTGCAAGATTATTCTCAAGCACGAAATTCAAGATGCTACCGTACCAGGAACCATGATGTCTAAAGTTGCAAGAGATTGCTTTTCTCCTTCACTATTCCGGGGTATAATAACCATTAGAGGTGCCCTGGATTCCCTCGCCACCGTACCTCAAAAGTAAGTCATTACGAGAGTTCTAATTAATTGAATAATCCGATTGCGCTATGCTTTCTCATCCTTCTGTTATGGGAACCGGTTGCGTTTCGCTGTGTTTAATTCATCGGATATTTTTAGAGAATGTGTCTGGCCGAATTTAAAAGAAGCAACTTACTCAATAAATCAATAACAAACATCCAAAACAAATCGAAAACGATCATTCCTATCAGAAAAACGACACCAACTTGATAGCTCACCGACTAAATGTAGAAAATGCAATGATACGAACACACTTTGACTTACTTGACATCGCGAAGCCACCACAAATATAGAAGAGAAGGCAAGAACATTGTTCGTGAACCAATTTCCCCATAATTCGTGTACTAATCCAAATGAGAATGATGCACCCAAAGCGATATAAGTAAGAACTGCTTCATGGTGATAGAATATATCAGCTTAAAGACAAATATAGAAAGGATTTCTGTACAAGGACTTACAAAACTTCACAGTGAATATATCGAGAAGAACAACGTAAACTGCGGCAGCACATAACCAAACAGGAACATGAATAGCAAAAATCTCTCCGAGAATATCCAGTGCACTGAATAGGAAATATTATGAATGTTAAACGAAGTGAGAACTATACCTCCGTCGCACTTCAACGAAACTATCATCATCTACATGAGCTGTCATATTGAACGCACTCAAAAGAAGATTCATCAGGTTTGTCTGAAATGTAGTAATTCTAAGTTTTGAAAATTTTAGAAAGAGTATACATCCGCCAATTCACGATATATATCGGGTGCATCATCTTGGAACACATCACTCTCGCAGAAAGAGGATTTTCTACTATCTTCGAACAGTCTTCTGTGCAATCTACTGATATTGCTGTAGCTGCGAGAACGCAAAGAACTATCTGCTGTACAATAATTTCAAAACCGAAAAAAGAGTCAGACATACCGTCAGGTGTTGGGGCAAGCTTGGTGATTACGTCTTCTACCTTATCAACTGTGAACCTAGGTGGGACAGGAGCAGGAGGTGGTCTAAAAATAGAATTTATGAGCTTCGGAAGAAATGTAGTTACGTTGGCGAATTATCCTCAATATCGTCATCATCATTTTCTCTGGTACTATCTTTGACAGTATCTTGTTCTTCGATGTTAGACAACAATTCTAAAAACCTTTTGATTTGTTATCAGTAGAGATACGTACTAGTAAGTCTTTTTGCTTGTTCCGTCAATAGTTCGTCGTTGAGTGAAAAAGAAGTTCTTCGTGTAGTATCTCCTGTACGAGAGACTTTGCGAGAAGGAACTGTAGACCCTGCCTGAAACGGATTGGAGATACTTTAGCTAACTGTAATATGAGTACCCTCGATCTGATTTTGACGTCTTCAACTAGCTTCCGAAGCTGTTGACGTCTACAAACATCACGTTTAGTTCCTATATAGACTAAGAAAAGAAATCCGGATAAGACCAGGGGGAAACATATGGCATATTGAAAATCAACGAATATAACTGTTTTGGTGTCAAGCTGAGGTTATTTGATGGAGGGAAATAGATGGATGATCTTATACCTCGAACAAGTAGATAGTGGAAGCTCGTTGGCATGCTTGATACAAAACAATTGAAGAAAGAATTACGATAGTTGTGGAAGCTAACGCTCGAGCTATGGTATCATTCATTCCTCCTGAAGACATGATTAATGAATATGACAGCACAATCATTTTGAGTACTTGAGGTTATTCCTTACGACAACAAAAAATAAAGTAAAATAAACTTTAATAATTTATTTTGATGGCCAACAATTTGAATAACAATAATGAACAACGACTATACATTGTTATCAGTTTGCCAACTGGGCTGGAAATCAAACGTTAAAGTAAAGAACTTGTGTTAGCCAGTTGATGAACTCGTTTAACGAGAACCGGAACGGCTACGGCTACGACCTGCGCTTGGGCTTCTGCTATGACTGGGACTGTGTGAGCGAGATTGCGAAGGTGAGCGACTACGTTCTCTTGGAACGGGGCTTCTGTAATAGAACATTTTAATTCAGCACGAGTGAGAGTTTACCTGGATCGGGTACGGCTTCTTTCACGCTCACGGCTGCCTGAGCGACGGGTACGATCTCTGGACCTGAATGTCAAATGTTAGAGCACTCAAGGTATTCTTTTTCCAGCGGCCCTAATGAATCTCTTGAAGTTCAAGTCTTACACCGTTACGATGAAGAGTAGATGAAGTTGTACAATCACTACATTGGTGATGCAGTATGTTGAGAGATGTTCATCGTGATTAGAGGCGCAACTATCAATCTAATTCGGATTGGATGAGAAGAGGTGGATGGGGAGAGTAGATTCGATGAGAGAAAGCGCGAAGAGAAGATGGGGAGGAGCAGGAATTGCGGGCGGACTGTTGTTGTCCGCTAAACAAGAGCATATTAAAAATACGAAAATAAAAAAGTAATAAAAATTTACCTGCTACGACGTCCTCCTCTCTCCTGAGAACGCCCGTTTTCTCTTCTTCTACCATGGGAGAGTTCTACTCTAGCGCGTACTCCACAAATACGTCTGAAATGGTATGATATTCTAAGAATGTATGTGCGAGAAACTTACGATCCATCTAATGTTTTCACGGCATCTTCAGCATCGCGAACATCTTCAAACTCTACAAAAGCAAAACCAGGGGGTCTACGTGCTACCCACACTTTACGAATACGGCCAAAGCGATAGAACACATCTTCAATCTTTAAATTTGAGAATATGAAAAAGTTGGAGAAGCTTTAGCCTTACTTCTTGTGATGTTGCATCGCTGGGTAACCCACCAACGTAAACTTTACCCTCTACCATAGTAGAAACTAAAATATGTTCAATGTTGTATTTAGAATATGCTTAAGAGTGCTTTGGAAAGAGGAAAAATTTGGCTTCAATTTTTAAACAAATTAATTTCATATCAAAAATAGAAACTTTGATTAGAAGCAGAGATAGACATTGATCATACAACCGTACATAAATTAGTTTCGCGGTGAGACCCATTGTTGCAAGACCTTTAGATAAGATTATGGGAAGCAAAGGTAAAGCCAAACTTTATTGGATTTTAATGTTTGAAAAACTCAGGTTTAGTGATATAAATATGATTGATTAGTAGCGCTATCAAACGACGGATGAATGATAAGTGCAACCGTTCTGAGTTTTCTACTTCAGTAAAGTGAAAAAAGTTTTCACGAGGTAGAGGTAGGAGACAACGGTGGAACAGTGCACTCGACCGCCCTCAGGAAGATGATATTGGAACAAGAACATATTCAATCAAGTGGTACAAGGATAGATGTATATGAAAATAACTTATAACATTTGAAATGATCAAGGTTGGTTAAGATACTCAGAAGTGACATCATATGAGGAAGTAATGGCTAGTTTGGTTAGGGAAGCTTGACTCCGACACAATAATAACAGAAAAATAATGTTTGAGTTGGTACATCTTTACAGAAGAGATCGAGGGATCAGTCACAGCAATCTGCTAAGCAACATCCGGCGCAACAAGCCAACATGGCAACAAGACAACATTGCCCACTTCCACCACCGCTATCACGCTGTTGTTCGCGTGGGACAACTCTAGAAATTGAGGGAAACTCTTCAGCACATCAAAGTTCGTTCACAACTTACACCACCTGGGGATTATGTTGAGGATAGGGTTGATACGGCTGTTGAGGGTATTGAGGATAAGGTTGTTGAGGATAACCCGGTTGTTGTGGATAACCAGGTTGATAAGGTTGATATCCAGGCTGTTGAGTATAATGGGGACCCGGATACTGTGGGGGAGCATTTGGATTATATTGCTTAAATATGAAAACATTAAAAAAAGAAATAATGTATGAAACGAACTCCATAGGGTGTATTATTCGGATAAGGAGTTGTCATGGTACTTCCGTGGACCTAGAAGAAAAAATATATTTTCAAGAAAAAAAAATGGGAAAAAAAAATTTCGAGGAGACGACAAACTTTCCTGAAAGTTGAAACATGGTTTATCATTTGTGATGATCAAACAGAAAAAGATAAGTTTTATCAAGCTTTTGTGTTATTGGCTTACATAGAACAGTGATTGATCAAAATGAGTTTTCGATTTTTCAAGACGTGTAAGCAAAGTATGAAAGCGCGTATAGGTAACTAGGCAACTGGAAATAACTTGGGAGAATGACCGTCGTAAAAATTTTAGAAAAAAGGATGAGAAGAAGCTGTCTGGTGTTAATCTATGAAAGAAGAAAGGAAAATACGGGAAATAGCAAGAGAAACAGCTAGTACATTATGACCAAAAGTAGAGGAAAGGTAAATACAAGGGAGCGGACAAATAAAAATCGATTGTCTATGTAAACTCAGTGTTTCTCCTTCCCTTTTATATCCATTTCATTTAATATCATGCGGTTTCAAAAGCTTAAAAAACATACTATGAGTCATCATTTACTAGGTCAATATACAAATCCAATCAATAAGAGAAGAATGATAGTTGGACAACGTGAGCAGTTTGGTCTTGATAAAGTGAGTTCAAATGGGTACACATTTAATAGAAACTTATTAGATAAAATATTGATCGAATTTCATTGATTTATCAATCAACGGCAGAGCAGAAGTCCACACAAACAACCGAGCATGGCGAATAAGCAACATTGCTCAGCAGCTTCGTCTCGGTGATGGTGGTGTGAATGACAGTCTTCGACTCTAAATATTGGCGTAAGATTGAATTAGAGAGAATGTAATGAAATTACATGTAAGTGGGTTGTTGTGTGGTATATATGACCTGTTGTTGTTGAGGATAAGTTGTATAGACTGTTTGAGTATTACCACCTGTTGTATACACTGTTTGAGTTGTATATGTCTGAAAGAAGAATAACTGATGAACACATCTTATTGCAAGAACACTTACAGCCATTTATCAAAAATATTAAAATGATAGATGAAACAGTATTAGTTGAAAGCTCAGTCTCGAATAGAAAGTGCCAAAAATGAATGAAGGAATGAAATGAAGTTCACACACAAGTCTCTTGCTCAGTGGAGTCTTTTATGAATCAAGGAATCAACTTCACTCGAAAGTGATAACGTCTATTTGATATCTGAATCATTTAAATATTTTAGGCTCTTCCTTATCGGCAAAAAAGGACATTTCCGTAAGAAGTGACGAATTGAATCAAGTTATCTTGCTCACAACACTGATCACCGATGATGCAGCATGCGAATGTCACATTATTCATAACCGTCAATTCCCAAGTAATTACTGAGCAATAGGTGATTGCCTAGTAACACTCCCTGTTCTCTGCTCATCTTATATGCGCAAGAGAATGAATTATATTTTGTTTTCAATTTGAACAGGAAAAAAAACAACTGTTCCTGTTAGATTCATCTCCTCCCATATTCTCTCCTTCCCAAGTTATTTCATAAGTGATGTCGAGCCACACTAATGGTTTTAACGAGTTCATAGCTAAAGACGGCTTCATTAAAGTTTTTGAAACTGTTTTCTTCATTTTTTGGCTTATTACTGTCCCCTTCTACTTCTTCCTACTGTATTTCCTAATGCTAGCTCAAAGAAAACGTGTCAACGATTTAGCAACACCCTTCTTCAGGCTATGTATTAGTTCAGGAGTCATCGATTTAAGTTTTAAGCTTTTTAAAATCAAATCGTACCGAACAGATTCTAGCTAATCTCCTGAACAATTATCTTTTTGCTGTTTTACCTAAATGGGGGTGGTTTCGCGGGTTTTATCTGGCTCTTGGACAGTTCTTCCCATACTTCTATCTTTACATTGCTTGGTCATTAGGTAACTCATTCTGTTCACAAACTTGTTCATATACATTTCTTTCAGGAATTTGTCAAGCAATGTCTGTTAGCGTACTGGCGACCAATCGTCTTTCTGCCATGATGTTTCCGGAAACATATCACAAATCCTGGACGGGGAAAAAGCTTTTGATTGCTTACTTTATTCAATTCAGCATAGGGATGGCAATATCATTATCCGTTTTTGCGAGTGATGTGTATGTTGAGCATAGTGAGTCAGGAGGACTTATTCCAAAATTCGTTGAGTGAGTTGATGTTTTAAACATTTAGTATAAGAACATGATAGGAAATCGAGAACAAACCTCTTTTTTGGTATAGGAGGTTTTTTTCTAGGTTTCAATAGTTTGTATCTCGTAATCGCGTACTGTTATCTATTCTACATCTTGAGAAGAAGGCACAACATTCAAATAGAAGTAAGACAACTCCTCGAAACACTTCTTAACAGACTAGAACTCAGAAAAAATCGGTGAACATTGAAAAAGTTCAATTAATAGCTCGAAGAAGAGAGACGAGACTCTTCTTCATGTCAACTTGCATAGGTTTGTCTTTGATTTCATAGAAAGCTCCTTCGTGATCTTTCTAATAGCGAGTTGTTGCAGTATCTGTACAATTAGTTATCATTTTATTTTTCGTATCAAAATTATTTCCATATCTCACACTGACGACAGAACAGTTTTATATGTTCTACAACGCTTTGAGGTTATGATGTTTTCTTTACTGCGTCAATTATTCATTAGTCATACACAGCAAAAGCACAACCGTGTGCGTTTTTATATAATTGCAAATGACTTTTCACGTGGCTTCCACGTAAGATGGCTTTTGCAAGATGTGTGAAATTAGAATAATTGATGATTTTGATAAACACATTCGAATCATAAATGAGTAAATTATTTGTAATTCGCATTTAGTGATATATATAGTGGTGTTAATCCATACCTCTTGGTCATATTCAGTGACGCATTGAGAAAATATATTCTTACCTCATTGAAAGTCTACAAGAAAATTCGAATGGCAACTACAATTATTGTTTGATCGAACACATTCAGTCAATATAATTTATGTACAAATTGAGTTATGTATAGTTAATCATGGTCTGCCCATATATCCTTATATCTTATGTCCCTATATGGATGATGTATATCAACTGAACTTGGAAATAAAGCTGTTGTATTGAACTGTACAAAGTATTGCAAAAGATGAAAATTGGGTTTCTTGAATGGTTTCACGTATTAGTTGAAGTAAGACGAAAACTTACCTCATACATATCGGGTGGCACTGGACTCATCGCTTCGAAGAGCAATGTGGAGCCGTTGGAATATGTACGATACGCATTAATGCTTGAAATGTCTACAAAAGATATGATATTTATTCAGCTTTCCTTTCTGTCTTCTATTTCAAATGTTTCGAACGTACTTGCAGGAAGAAAAGCCAATGGTAGCATAGCCTGACTAGTCCATATCAACCCATCACTGGATATTTGGTTCCAAACGCTTAATTGTAATTGCTCACCTAAGTAGGTTAGTTAAGTATGAGAAAAGACTTGTCGTTGAACCTGAATCAAACATATTCTGTTGTCCATCATATAAGCTGCAGTGCCAATGATTAGAAGGACCCAATTCAACTTCGATGTACTTCTTTTCATCATTGGCTAGGAACACCGCGATATTTTCGAAATTTGAGAGCTGCAATGCTTCTTCGTTTTCGTTTTTTTAAGGGAGAGGTGAAATGCGGGGGAGGTTCGAAAAGCCCGTCTCAGAATAGAATTCTTATCATAGCTGTCCTTTTCTCTTCATTTCTATGATATTCTATAGCTTAAATCTAGCAACAGTGAATAACACTCATCGATTTCCTTTTAAAACGAAATAAAAGAAATTCTCAAAATACTTGATAGATTCCGTTTCATTTATGATCAATGACTAAACGACATTTTAACATATGAGTAAGATGAATCTCTTGTTATCTTCATATTGCCACCCTTACCTGATTCATCAGACTTCTCAATTTTATAGTTCTTATTACTTCTCTCTCCCACTCGTTTTATCTAAGTCTCTCTTTCTCTATCTATCTCAACTTACATCTAGCACAACTCCTGCTGGTGAGTTAGGAGCTCCTGCTTTGTTTGCAAACGGGGCCTGAAAATGGTCTATTCTGGTATTTTACAGAAAATATTTTTTTTCAGAAATAAGATAAGGCATCGATTAACTGTTTGACTGGATTTTTAACACTTTCACATATATAGGTAAACAAACAGGCAAACCATTGTTTTTACTCATACCATCTGCTTGTAGACTATATTCATGTGCGTTGGAGCTCAAACGAACTAGCCAAATATGGAAAAAAAGAAGTAAGTTAGCATTACCTCAATAGAAATCAAAACACTCAAGTCAGGTTCACTGTATTTGAGAGAAACGTTGACAGGGTCGTGAAAGATTCTATGTGAGTCCCACGTTGTATTTATTGCGTAAAACAGTCCGGGATAAAACTCTTCCGGCTTATCGAGCAATGCCTGAAACGTTGAACTAGATAAACACCAGGCGTCTAAAGTTCTTCTCGAGCTGTACGATCTTTCCATCACTTACATGGTACTTATGAGCAAATAAGCCAGTTAGAATGGCTAAAATTAAGCTTGTGAGAAAGAAGGTGATGGACGTTGCCCATAGAAGTGCATAGCCGGCCCTGAAGAAATGGAGAGAAGAGATTTTGAGAGTATGACACCATCTCACCTCGCCATACTTGAAGCTTAGTGATCCCCAGTATTTTGGAGAAATTGTTACTTTTGACGAATTTTTCAAGAGCGAAAGCTTTATAATGAAAAAAAAAACTTTTGAAAGAGTCAACGGCAAGAAGAGTAAAATAAATGAAGAGTGAGAAAGAATGTTTATGATCTCGAACATTATGAAAGACATGAACATCCAACATAGTTAACTTAACGTCCACCCGAGAATAAAAGAACAACGTAACAATCAAGAGAAGAAGAAAAAGAAGAAGACGAAGAACAATAAATTCTTAATAAAGACCGTTCCACAAATCACCATATTTGAAATCTGCGAAAGGACGGTGAATGTAGTTTTCGGGCACGATCCGTCGCATATTCATTTTTCCGTAAAACTGAGTACGATGGAAGTCGGGCTCCTGAAGACAGAATGTTCAACTTGAATATAGACATAATGATGATATTATCAGTAAAGAATACTCCATCGATCGGAAGTTAAAAGCTTCAGAAAGATGAAAGAAACTATTAATATATAACAGTGTCATTATTCTCACATTAACAACAGATAAAACTTGGTTCGAAATAACTTTCAAACGATTATCAGCGACTCACCTCATAACTCCCATCTGTAACGGGATAGAGAGCTTCGTAAACTCTTTCATCACCGGTTCCATGTATGGCATATGAATTGAACTTAGTAACGTCTAAAAAAGATCTGTTCATACGCGAAATATTATTTGGTTCTCACTTCCAGGGAAGTAGGCTAGGGGAATCTCCAACTCTCCTTGCCATGTATCGCTTCCAATAATTTTATTATTAACAACAAGCTCTAATTCTTCTCCTAGAAAATGTATAACGTATATCGAATCATGCATTAAGAGATTCAAACCATTGTTGAAGGGTTTTCGCACTCCATCGAACAGTATGCAAAGCCAATGTCCATGTGGTCCGACTTCTACCTCCAAATACTGATTTTTTTGGTTTGCGAAGAAAAATTCAATACATTCGTAGTTGTATAACTAAAATTTCTAACAATATGTTTGAAAAGAAAACAAACAAAACTAACGTCGTTGAGAATACCAGGTGGATCATCAGGTTCTGGATCATCGAAAAGTGGTGCCTGAGAAACAGTTGACATTTGACAAACACTACTTTCTTTTTTACCTCAAAATTGACTTTTACTACTCGTTTATGTGGCTTTCCCTCAATTTTTTCAAATTGCCAGTTCATATTCACTTTAATTGGGGCATGATCCACTGGTAATCCATTCCAAGTCTTATCGATCACATAGTCGTATCCGGCTAGTGTTTTCATATCATCTGGGATGTAATCATCCATGGCTTCATGAAAGCACATCATTTTCGACACTGAAAAATGTAAACTTAGCAGGGAACAAATAAACAAAAAGAAATGAAAGAAATAAAAACTTCATCGCATAACGCCGCTTCCTAAACAAGCTCTGTACGCAGCGCATTTTCATTGCGACGCCTAGATTAAATCTACACACATAGCGGTGCCGAGGTGAGGCACTGGCTTGGGTGGTTCTCTCTTGTTTGTTCGATGTCATTTGATAAGTTATTGAGATATTTTTTTGCAAACAAAATTATATGTTTAATCAGCTTATCAATATGTATGATGTTACTAACCTTATGTTGTCATCCCAAAAAGAATTGTTGTGATGCATCTGGACAAATTCATACAGAGCCCACTCTCTTCAATCTCATAACATCGGCTGTCGCCCTTTTTTTCGATTAGCCTGGTCCGCTATGCTCACATTTTTCGTTTTCAAACAATTTCAATTAGTTTTACGGTTAACTCTACATAAATTCCGCGAACTTTAAGATTTGCTTTCCCTGTCGCTATCTAGTTGAGCATTGTTATTTTCAAATTTTCTTTTCTCATATTGTACTGACTCACTTTTGGCAAACAGTTTGTTCCTCCACTGCCTCCGCTTTGTTTATAACGTGTGATTTCTAAAGTTTCAAGAATCAGAGATATTTAAATGTTCTTTTATTAGTTTGGGAAAGAAAATTTCAAAATTGTTTCGGTAGTTTCAATCATTTATTCAAGGTCAAAATCGAAAGTAACATGGATTGTTAACATGGTAGCGCCATTAATGAAATCGTTCTTTCTCAAAGGGGTTCTTCCCCTAACCCTTCTGTTTGGTATGTTTTTCCTCATCGATTTTTGTCTTATCAAACCTTTCAGGAGCATTTTTGCGACCATGTTTCATCTCTATTGGCTATATTATCTTTGCCATAGTAGCTCCTTTACTCCCTGCTATCAAAAACACGCAACCGTTGCCAGGTGATTAAATGATTACCAATAAGTATAAAAATACGCGATCCTATCCAAGTCGCTTCATTTGTTTACTTGTCTTGGGAGAGGTCTGGCTGGCACGAGTGGACACACTCTAGTGTAGTCCAGCGGACACGTTGAAAACAGCAAGTGCCAATGATCTTTGTGAACTATGGCCTTCGCTTGTTGAAAGCATCTCTCTTAATAATCATCAATTTTATTAGAAATAGGGATAGAGAAGCTAAGATAACTCGATTTTTCAGGCTCTATTCGATCTTATACGATATTTGTCTTCGTTTACGTGCTCTTGAGTAGCATTGGGCAAATATCATATCAAATCTATGAAGCTGTGAATAGAGAGTCTGATCAAGATTACATACATAGCTGCAATCAAACAGATGTTAAATGGCTCAAATACACCGGTTTCATTAGGTAAAGAAAGAAGTTTTCACTTTTAAAATAAAAACTTCTGTCCAGATTCCATGGCGGACAAGGTTTCAATTCAACTAGAACCATCTTGCCTGAAATTGTAGCCGCAGTTGCATCTGTTCTGACACTGCTGGTGGTCAACTTATTTTCCCATGCTACACCTTTAGAAGATATTGATGATTCACTACCTATTCAACCTGTCCGGGCTGGCCCTCAGTGAGTGATTTTTTTCACATTTTCAACAATAGCATCTGTTATAGGGAACCTTCAAATCCTATTCGGAGTGGTTTCCTGACAGGATTTAAACGTTTATCGAATCTGACCATATTTGTGTTAGCGGCACTTGTTGGATGTGTACAGGTAAATTAAGGCTAAATAAAATGAGAAAACGGTTTATGAAATTTTGCAGCCATCGATTCTGAATAGTGTGTACTTCCTGGCCTTCCTTCTTGTCGCAACGTGGTGGGCAATTTACAAACCCCTCAGGCATCAATGTTACAATAAAGTCAAAGGAGTACGATTGTAAACGAACATTATCGTTTTTAACTTTTTCTTTTAAAGGGTCTGCTTTTATATGCAGCAGTTCATATTTTACTAATCTATACGTATCAAATACCTTTGATACAAGAATGGATACCCGCCGGCAGCTTCACCGCTAGGTATTTTTGAGAATTTTTTTGTGAACTCGGTTGTGCGTTTTTTCAATATGCAAATCAGTTTTTCGAGCGTTGATGTTGCGTTCAACGCGCAACATTTGCTTTGATTTTTGATTAGCATAATGCTGTTCGCGCCTCCCTTTCATTTAAATTTAAAACACGGGTGGTGCGGTTGAGCTAGCTTCTCTGTTGATTGTCTTAACTTGTTTTCTTCTAGATTAATTGGACTTTCGCCAATTCTTCAAACAAGTTGTGACTATTTTTGGACGTTCTGGTTCAACAACAGTTTGAAATGGCCTGCTTTAGCAAATCCTTTCATATTATTGGTATATGAGTGTTTGAAACTTGAATACGGAACAAACTTTTAGGTTTTCTATCATTTCCTACTTCTGCAACTGTCTTGGACGAAAAATGGAAGTCGTGCCTATTTCAATGAAGAGCCGGCTGGTTCTTCTGTGCACGAAGAGGTTTGGTTGTCGTTGTACTCTCTGTTGAGTTTCAAGCCTAATCATAGTTAATGTTCTTTTCGGCTGTAGTTGCTTTGGCTTCTGTTTTTGCCTGATTTTTTAGAAAATTTGAATGTCTTAGTTTGAGCATGAGTAGTGATTGTTGAGTCTTCAGACCCAGAGAATGGGAACAACTACCACACTAGTGGATTCTTATGGTATTCATGATTCTCCTCCCTCTGATAATCGCCCGCGTGGATCTACTTTGGTAAATAGTTTTGCGAAAACTTTGCACGCAGTTCTAGTTAAAAAGGAGATTACTCAAAGATATAAGTAGCAATATTTTGTAGATTCACTAAGTGTTGTGTATTTGTGTTCTGTTGGGTGTGCTAGCATGTGCTCCATATACTTTACTTTTCTTTTTTCATGTATCAATTTTTTTCAGCTCCTGGCTTCGGATGATGAACAAACGGGTGACAGTTCAATTCCTTTACGGAAAGTTACATCTCAAGTTGTGGATCGGCACAAAATTTCTCAAATTGTGCAGGGTGAGAGAGGTGTGTCGTGCTGTGTTTTTATTTTTTATTCATGATTGAATGAGTATATTAACTATGTTTCACATTTGCTGTGCTGTTCAGTTGTTTCTCTTGTACTTATACAACTTTTCAGCTGTTGCTGGAGGAGAATCTTTCGCAGCGGATTCTCTTGTTTCAGTATTCTTCTTTGTTCTTTACCATGCCTACGTTTTCCCGTTATTCACGATCATGGTATGAGTTAGTCAGTTGTTGACAATAATGGAAAAGTTTAGACTTGGGCTTTATTGTACCATTCCATCTTCGGATTAGTACTGTTATGTTTGGGATGTGTCCTTTGGATGTTCAAAGATACAAGGAAGTCTTGCTTCAAGATTGCTGCACCCTTACTTACATATGTTGAGGTATTCCTCAAACTTTTTTAACGCTCCATCAAATTTATCATAGTTTTTACTAATTGTTCAATATGTTTGTTCAATGGATCTCGTTGAATTGGAAGAAGTTCTCACGGATGTTCTGCAAATGATCGGTTTCATCAAAGCACCTGATATGGATGCTGCATTCGTCATGTTAGCAGTTAAGGTGAGTGAAGCTTCGTTTTTGAGATTTTTCTTTGAAACGGCGTGTATATTTGCTTTGTTATTCCAAATTTTGTTGTCTCAGCTGATCTCTTTTACGAAATCATTTTCGTGAATCAATGAAATCTATTATACCCGCTATTCATTGCTCATCACTGCTTTGGCATTTTATCCCTTTTCAATTAATGTTAAGGCTTACTCACATGGTTTTTTATGCGTCCCCATCTTTATATAGGCAATGTTGTGATTTTGCTTCTTTGTCATATGCTAGCAAGACACATTTTCGTAATTTTTTTCGTCGAAGAAAGAAATTTTTATAGCGCTGTTTTGATAGACTTATTGAAACTTGCTTCTACACATAGGACTTTCGCGTGTAATCATAATGCATAACTCATAGATGATTTGTTCTCCCGGTTAATTGTATCAGAATAGAGCACCACTGCTCTTTTCAGCTACCCTTTTAACATATTTATTCTCAATTTGATCTTGCCCTTGATCTTGAATAACGAACCTTCGCATTGAAATGGCAAACGCCAAAACCAGTTTGTCAGGTATTGCAATGCGAGATTCACTAGTTTTAATATGCGCTCTATGAAAAGTAGGAAGTGTTGAACTATTCAAATATAACTAATACGTCAGATAGATAGTTTCATTCCATTTTTTAATTTCACCTTTTCAGCTTCTACTGAGTTTGCCCGTTTTCCTTTTACTTCGTCTCAGTTGTCGCGAGAGGTTTTTTTTTCATTTCAAATGTTTTTGTAAGAGATAGTCATAGATTCTACGAGTCACTATCAGAGCACGAAAGAAGTCAACGTGTTCAATCATACGGCACATTTAGTCGACCAACTCCTTTGAACGGGGATATTTTCCCAGATCCGGCACATGAAAGAAGAAAGGTATCCTATTTCTTGTTTTCGAAACTGATTCTATACTTACAGTCTACTTCTGTATTCCTTTTCTTGACCAAGTTTTTCACTGTTTACTGGATTTTTGTTGTTGCATTCGTTCTTCTTCTTGTGGGACTACAGAGCAATCCTTGCCTCTACACCATCGGCTTTTTCTTAACTTGGTGTTGTTTCGTGTTATACTCTAAAGTAAGTTTAAATAGAATATTGTTTGAATATTTTATGATGCCTTTGAACGCTAGTTCCGTGGTGTTTATTCTGTTACTGACTCATAACCTCAGAGAAACAGATTTCAGCTATCTTTTCCGTGACTTTCTTATATTGGCACACAAACTTTTCTATACTTTCATTCTTTCAGGTTTCACTTCCATTCTTCCGTCTAATTTCTTACGTGCTATATCTTTTCGCTATAATCTATACGTCGACTGTTATCATCACTTTATACATCTACCAATTTCCCGGGGTGAGAGCGTATGATTTTTCCTTGAAAAGTACATACTTTCTGTTCAGTTCCCAGAAGTTTGGATCAAGTGGACAGGAATATCTAAGGAGTGGAATGACGATATTGGTCTTATAAATTATAAAGAAGCTGGAGACTCGAAGTTTCTACCTTTTTCGTTTTTTTAATTTCCACTTTTATTTTAGTGAAATTATAACTCGTCTTTTCTGGCCACTTACATTCTTCGCTGTCGCTATGTTGCAACTAAAGTTTTTCCATGAGCCATGGCTTCAAATGGTCAACGCTGTTAGGGGTAATAATACTGAGGAGAACAACCAAGAAAATGATGGACGTAAGTCATTTTGTTTCAATTCTTTCCGTTTTACACCTTGGTGTCAAGTAACGTTAGCAAGTGCTGGCGTAATACCAACGTTGCTACTCCCCTGGGTGGTTATCAATCATAACTACCCCTTATTTTTTATCCTTGTGGTTTCCTAGTACTAGTCTACATATTTATTTATATAGCGCTGGGATAATATTTGTAAGTTATTAACTGAAATTTCCGGGTTTGGGTGATAAGAGGGTTTCATTTACTCACATCAGCTGTGAGTTGTATCTGTTGTGAGCTTCAAACCTTGGATACCGATTGTCGTGATCAAGAGATAGGTAATATCCCTTAATAGATGATCTCGTTCAGTATGTTCTATTATCCATTCTGTTTTCTGTATATCAAGACAGATCTTCTTGATATTCACTTTCGTCAGCGTCAGACATTGATTTTACACGAGAGCGTATATGCGTAAATGGTTAGATGAATCTTATTCGTTTATTTATCACGAACGTTTACGAAATCCAATAACTATCGATCAATCGTTTCATATTTTTTTGAATTTAGAACTGTTAAGTAACGTCTTTTTTGCTTTGTCACTCGATTCGTATTGTCTTCATTCGACCGTACTATGTTTTAGTACCCACATAATTGGAAATTGATTTCTTAGTTAACTCCTTCCCCATATTCGACTTGTTTTTGGTATTTCTAATTGCGCACTTGACTTTTTCCCCGTTATTTTTTCTGACTTTCTTTCTTTTCTTTTTTTTAATAGACTAACTTTTTTGATTGGCTTCTCATCTTGACATGTTTTACAACTCCTGAGCTTTTAATTCTATTTGTTTTCAAGTCAAATTAACTGTTGCGATCTCGTTCAACAGAGGTTTTGAAATAGTTTTCACCGCCTGCTTATTTTTTTTCTTGCTGAATTTATGACATTGGTGACACTCTGATTTAGCCTATGGCTGTCAGTTGCTTAAGAAGTAACTCTAACATTTGTTTTAACTGTTGTCATTTTGATACACAATAACAAAGGTCAGAAAGTCTGTAGCACTTCAAGACAGTTGTAGCGTCTAATGAGCACAGCAGTTAAACCGCCTTGCTCCGCCTTTATTTCATGCTGCATCGAAATCTTGTGCTCGTTTGCGATTGCTTCCCCACCCCAGAGAAAAACAAAAGAATGTGTCAGGTAAAACAATTCGCCTGATCCCTTGTTCTTTTCTCTCAATCTTCATAGTATTACTTATGATTAATTTCTAACTACGATCGAGCGACAATGTATGCTGAACTTATTCATATTCTCGACTATTATGTATATAAGGCTTTCCATTCTATTAAGACTCGTAATAAGCAATCAGGATCCGTGATATCAACGAATGCTCGTTGTTCTATAGCAACTTCTAATTTGTTAACACCTTGTGAGGTGAACATGATGAGCTCTCTGATAAGTGCTGATTCGGGAGTAGAAAATAGTAGCAGCGAAGAAGTGCCATACATTGATGACGATGATATAACGAGACCTATTATTATTGCTAGACCCACAACTAGATACAAGTGGAAAAAAAGAAGTTGGAGTAAGTACAAAAGATTTTCCTTTATTTCTGATACCATACTGAAGCCATCTGGCTAGTGAGCTTGTGGATAAGTTTATGTTCGTATGTTACATATGTAATGTGTTCACTCAATTTTTTCAAGAGTTGTTTATTCACTTTCGAAGAGGCTTGCTTATTGTTTTAGTTATGATGAGCTCTTGATTTGAAGCCCGTTGTTTTCTTTTCTTCGCAATCATGTTCTTGACTCCAATCTCACGTCGCGCTTGTCGTTCAGAGTTAGTGAATATCCAGCAATAAAAACTTTGGCACTAGGCTTGTCGGAAAATTCTTTCGGTCATGAATCAACAGCTGGATGCGTAGTACACTCATTTACGAATGTGAGAGCATAGTTCGCTATGTTGTATCAAAGAGATATCAACACTCAAGAAATTATTTCGAGGTTTTTCTTCTGCAGATATGAGAGAGAGAGATTGGGGAGATAGAGCGAAAAATGAAATGAAGCAGATAAATTAGCATGTCAGAATTGATTTCATTATATTCATCCATTCATTTGATAAGTTGATGGTCATTTTGAAACAATAATTATAAAGTGATTGGTTTCTCATAAGAATGATGTGCAGCGGGAATAAACAATGTTTTTCTTTCATTCACTACCGGAATATCTGAAATTGAAAGACATGTTTGGTAATAATAACATAATACGGTTTACTTTGCTGGTTTTTTTTATGGCCAGTCCAAATAGGAATTTCCCCACACCCACAAAAATACAATACTGTTAGTTTATAAATCTTTTCTTTTCAGAAGCTACTGTTACATCCAAAGTAGCTCAATGGATGAACGAAACTATGGAATTTGTTTGGCGTTTAACAGAAGTTCATATTTCTAGAATAGTTTTTATTATTATAGCTGTTTTTGTAGCAAAAAATGTCAGTTTTCTCTTATGTTTCACATCTTCAAATCGTTTTTGCTTCAGATATGTGCCTTATACTTACCTCTGGCAATTCTCATAAGCATTGGCTTATGCTTGCCTCAAGTAGCAACGAACATAGTCAGTCTGATAATGTGTGCTTATCTATGCGTTATAGCTTTGTTTAAAATGGTCTACCAGGTATTTTGAAAAAGTGCAAAGTTTTTTCATAACTTCTTACTAAGCTTAAACATGTGCCTGACTTGGAGACTTTAATAACATCCGAATGCAATTCGACGCAAAAGTTTTCTACCTGGTTCGGTGTGGAGAAGAATGACAACACTTGGAATCTTCTCAACGTGAGCAGCCATTCTATTCTGATACTAATATTTTGTTCCTTACAGGGATTGATTGTTGCCATAATTGCTCTTGTAACTCAGTCAGTTGTTGTATATCGTCAAAGATATAGTAGAGCTGTTAGAGGGGAACCAGAAGATCGCAAGGTATGTAATGAAGTTTATTCACAATTATTTTATAACTTTTTCAGAAAAAAGTTTTCCCAGGATTCGATATGGCTACCTTCGATCACAGCATCGTTCATGGTCTGAAGTTCTTGATCGACCATGGTTTTTACAAGTTTGGCTATGAGGTACTGCTTGTTTCATTACCTTTGAAATAACTTTGGTTCAGATCACTATTGCTATGATGGCTATTAACGCATGGGTTCGTATGGACATGTTTGGTGGAGTTTTATGTATATGGATTGTGGCATTCGTCGGAAGCAAACGGTATTTTCATGTTTTTAAGTGCTTTTTAAATTTCTCTATTTGAAGAGCTGTATGCCGCAGAATATGGCCACTTTTTGTTCTTTATATGGCCATCGTACTGCCTCTGCAATATGCCCTTTACGTCGGTTTACCTGAAGTTAGTTGCATTGGTATGTTTAATCAAAATACAGGCTTATTAAATTCCTGAAATAGAATATCCTTGGGCAAAGTTCTTCTCGGGTGGTGACTACTCATCTGCAAAGAACACTAACTTCGATATTTGGATGGGATTGTCAAACTTTTCCGTTCATTGGCCGTCTAGTAACTTCGTTGCGGACTTCTTCCTTCTTTTGTTTGCCTCTTGTCAGGTATTCAACTTACAAAGCCCGCTTATTACAATGCATGTATCAGATGGCTGTTTTCCGTTGTGAGGGAACCGACAACGATTCTATCTATCCTGATGATCAGTATTATCTGCGTAGTGAAAATCCCCACTCCGATTTCCTGACTACTCAAAGGTATGATGAGGGTTCATTTTTCGAAATAAATAACAATTTGTTCAATAGGAGTTTTGTCGATTTTGTGAAAATCCTCGTGTTCCATTATGGTCATTGGATAACACTTATATCAACTCTGGTCGCTGGTATTGGGGGAACATCACTGTTTGCACTTGGTAATCATGATTATCTTTTTCCATTCAACATTTTATCATTTCAGGATATATTGTTATCACACTATGGATTCTATGGCAAGGCAACAATCTCTATGTCATGAATCCTGGAACAAACAACTTCAAGGATACATTGGCTCGATGGAAAATTCTTCTCTTCTACACGGTCTTCACTATGTTCTTCAAAGTTGGCCTACAGGTGAACCAAAATCATTGGAAAAGTAACATTTCAAAAAAATTTCAGATCTTTGGTTGTGTCTTCCTTGAATGGTTCGTGAATGATTATAGATGCTGGATTCGTCAGATATTCAGGTTTGCTTTAACATTGGAAATGAGCTCAGTAACTTTTTTAAAGTATCTCCTGTGTCAATCCTATAATAGAAAGTCGAGGAATGGAAGCGAACTTGTTCGATGACCGTCAGTTTTTTCTTCCCTACTCACTTTTCCATCATATTCTTTTTACAGAAGATACTTTCTTAAAGACCTGTCCGGTCAATCAACAGGAAGCACAAATGGGATTCGATGCTATTGCTTTGACTTTCTTGGTTTTCCAATTGAGAGTATTCCATTCGTGGTTCTTCCAACATTGTATGGTTGAGTATCGCTCAGAAATCATCTTGGCGAATAGGTTAGTGAACTTTGAATTAGTAATGAAGACCGGTAAAACTAAAAAGAAATATTTAAACAAATTTTAAGGTACAATGAGTCAGATAATTCTGCGTAAGTCTAAAAGAGTGATAAAATTTGGTTTTAATTTACGTTCGATCCCCGGGGTTGTGGTTCCTGTGAAGTTCCTAACCTTGCTGTTTCCAGAGGAGCAGTACTGAAGAACCAACTTATTGAAAAAGAGATGAAAGAGCAGAATGTACAACAAGTTAAGAAGTTCAAGGAGATCCAAGAAAGAACCCAGGCTATCCGTGAAAGGTTTGTCTATTGTAACTCCTTCTCCAAAAATATTAGATTTGTAGATACAATAAGCAGTTGGCCATTGGCTCTTCCGTTTTCGAGCCACAGACATATGGGCAAGGTAACATCTTTTTGCTTTTTATCTTTCAAAGTTCATACATTTAATTATTCAAAATACGATAGTTTCGCTTACTTTCCCTTATCGGGTTATGGATTAGATATCACATAGACATCTTAATGATTGCTTTGTGTTGTGGTGGTAGTAAGCTTATTGTAACTTCTTGTTAGTAGAATCGATGACACCGTTTAACTCGGATCAGGATGATCCTTTTCCCTTCTATGATTGGAGACATCTTGGTTTGTCTACTTATGATATGCATGAACACTTCGTTACTCTCCTCATCCGAGAGATTTCGTTCAGCTTCAGCTCAGCTCCTACTGTTTTACTTAAAAACGTTCACCCTTCGCATTATGTTGCTCCTCTATCGTATCTTTAACAATGATACTTCCTAAGTTCATAACACCAAATATATTTGGTTTGCTCACCTCATGTTAAAAGCCATAACATTATTCAGTTTTTATAACAAACTTTCATCACTACCATGAGATAATCCTTTGACTTTAGCGAAACGTGCTGGTGATTACTACATGTTCGATTATGATCCACATGCTGATGAACTTGTCCAACCTGTTGAGAGTTTCGTTCCTGAGACCGATCCAGCTGCCACCCAGTTTGATAAATTAGATCTTAGCCAGGTATTTACTTTTCAATAACTCTTTCAAACCTCGTTTCAGTTGGTTTACACAGCAACTAGTCACAACATGGATATCGGAAAAACTATGGAGAAAGTTAATGAAGCCGAAAAAGTGAAAGATCCGGAAGAGAGAATGATTGAAGCAATTAGCGCTGAGAGAGTATGTTTCTTGTGAGTATCCTCTAAAACAAACGTCTACTATAGCCTGAAGAACTAAATGAAACAGCTGAGAAGTCGTCGGCCTTCCACTTTATCAAGAAGCTTGTTACTAATACCTGTGATATGATCAGTGTATGGTTGAACAAAATGTCCAGGGAACACAGATATGTCGCTTTCGTCCTTTATAAAGAAAAGGAGAAGCTGAAAGACAGTTATCAACAAGTACGTTCCGTTAAGAGGTTTTAATCCATGATCTAACTTCAGTCACTCTCTGATACATCTCTTGGTTTGAAAGATCTGAGAGATCGAATGGATATGCCTAGTCTTCACGTAGTTCATAGTGAAGGTGACATCGATAAGTGAGTTTGTGAAGTGTTTGAACAATACTATAAAAACTTACTTCAGAATGGAATCTGAAGCTCTTAACAGTTGGCAACAGCGTTCCGCTGCCGCCAGGTTACTAACAGCTATTGGAAACTGTATACTGGCTAATACCGATATAATATGCTACTTCCTGGCAGTTCTTGCTCACGCTATGGGAGCGGGATTAATCACTCTACCTTTGCCTCTGATGGTGTTCCTTTGGGGAACTCTCTCTAATCCTCGTCCAAGCAAGTTCTTCTGGGTAACAATGATCGCCTATACGGAGTTTGTGGTATGTATATGTATCCAGATCATCATTCATAGTTAACTTGATAGATTTTGGTCAAATTTATTTGTCAATTCACGTTCTTCGAGTTCAATCAGCAATCTAATGCCAACAAGAATATCGTTGCTCCATTGACTTTGCCAAAAGCTTTCGGTATCCAAAGACAAGATGGATTTGCTATGTTCGATGTGCCACTCCTCTTCGCATTGTTCTTCCACAGATCTCTGCTTCGCAAATTTGGATTATGGAAAGATGCCAACCTTACGGTTACTTTCAATGACACTATTCAAGACAGCGTAGGGTCTAACTTTGTTTTTTTGTCAAGTATGACTTTTAAGACTATCGAGACATTGAATGAAGTATCTACATCTTCGCTGCCTACTGATGGACCATCCACTTCCTCCGATATGACAGCAGGTACTACACCTTTTCTCTATTTATGATTATCTGTCTATTACAGAAGTAGTCGTGGCTGAAGAACGCCAAACTGAAGAAAAGAAAAATCCTATTGTTCGTTTCATATCACAGCTGTTCCATCCAAAGTTCCGATACATCAGGTACAAATTAGTTGTAAGAACTCTGGTTAATTCAGTTTCAGAGACTTGTACCCAATTATGTTTGGCTTGGATGTTATTGCTTTCTTGATTATCGGACTGGGCTATTCAGGTTTCGGTGAAGGTGGCTCCGGAAACGTCATCGGTGATATCCAGGTTTTTCAACTCATAAGTCTCATGTTCAACTGTGTTTTATATAGAAAAGTCGCATCCCTCTCACATTGGTGATCATGCTCATCATTATGACACTCATGATTGTTGTTGATCGAGGATTGTATTTGCGAAAATGGGTACATGGAAAACTAGCTTACCAACTTGTTATCATCGTATTCATCCACACTTGGATTTTCTTCGTTCTACCTCTGATCACTAAGCGGTATGTACCACCAAAGTTCACTCTGTACATTCTTTTTTCTTTTCCAGGGCAGCTGCTGACAATGGAGTTGCTAAATTCTTATATGTCGTCAAATGCTTATACCTTCTGGTGTCTGCCTGGCAGATTCGAAATGGTTACCCACAGTTGTGCATAGGAAATCTCTTGACTCACGCTTATGGTCTCGCTAACATGGTTTTCTTCAAAATGTAAGGAATGATCTGAACAATCTATCTAACCTACTCCTTCGTTAAGATTCATGTCCGTTCCATTCTTGTTCGAGCTGAGAACAGCTATTGACTGGACATGGACTGATACATCTATGCCATTGTTCGATTTCTTCAATATGGAAAACTTCTATGCTCTGATCTATAACTTGAAATGTGCTAGGACTTTCGAAGCGGTTTATAAATCCACTAGGGCTCAGCAAATAAACTGAATCTCTTTTAGAACTATCCCGCTCCACGTGGACAGCCTAAGGGTGTCATCGTGAAGTATTTCATGGGTTTGCCCATGATCCTTCTCATAGTGTTCCTTGTTTGGGCTCCATTACTAATATTCTCTCTGCTCAATCAAATTGGTACGTGAAGTCTCTGATGGAAGTTTAATTTTCTTTCGATTTTAGGAGACATATCTATTCCTGATCGTGTCAAAATGTCTATGTCTTTGGAAGGATATCCGGTATGATTTTTTTCTCGAGTTGATGATTTAACTTTGAAACTTCCAGCCGCTATATCAAATTGAAGCTCAAGGAGTTGAACTGAGACCTTTCCTACCCGAAGAGCATCAACGCTTGACTGATATTATGAGCATTAGGTAGAAATCTCTGCTGTTAATACAGCTCATATTCAAACTTCTCTTTTTCCAGATTCAACCCGCTTAATTCCGATTCTCTCAAACGATCAAGAAACAGTGTAGCATTCTTGAAAGATTATTCTGAAGGAGATATTCTCGTAGTCGAATTCCGTCCTGAATCAGAAGTCACATGGCCTATTTCCGTGGAATCCCTCAAAGCTTTAAAGTTTGTTATTTACTTTATCATTGAACACACTCCAAATTGAAACTATTACTTATTAAATTGCATTGAAACCTTTGTTTCAGAAGCCAACTAGAGTCGAACTCATCAATTGAGTTCCAATTATCTGTTGAGTTCTCGAGACCGTATGACGCTGCTAAGAAATTATCTGAGAAACATTCAACTCAATATAATATCAAGATTAGTAAAGATCCTGCTGAGAGGAAGAAAATCAGAGATGCCCTAGACGGTGGAGGAATTGTATGTTTCCATTCAATTGCAGTTTAAAAGTTCATGTTAATCCTAGATTTCTTTGCCGACATCTTTCCCTAGTTACTTGTTGGTTCCTAACGAAGGACAAGTATCGGTACCTGAGCCGTTGGTCGCTTCTATTCTATATGATCAATCTCCATTCAACACTACAAGTGCAAATGTTAATAAGACAGCTTGGTTTGATACTCTTACGTTGTTCATTGACAATTCCACTGTCGGGGTTAGTTTGATTTGATTCTTATTTTTCAACATCACTTCGTTCTAGCCATCTGTCTGGGTAGCACAAGCCACTCACCCAACACAGTTCGATCAACAGGTCTTCTTCAATGCATCAGATATTCCATATGGAACGGGACGTAAATATCTTCAAACAGTTGCTTTCATTGACAGAGCTTATCCATCGTTCTTTGCGAAGTATCTGCAGGGAGGGTTAGTTTCCAATACAGTTAAGATAGCTTAATACTTATTTCTCAGAATTATAACGATGTACGCTACGTTGATTATCTTGGCTGGCCGAGTTATTCGTGGACTGTTCACAAGCTCACCGATGGAAGTTATGATTTCTGAAATTCCAAATCCAGACTATTTGCTCAAAATTTGTTTGGATATCTATTTGGTTCGCGAGGCGAAAGACTTCTTCTTGGAACAAGTGAGTTGAATGAAATTGACGTTGACTGAAATGAAATAATTTCAGGATTTGTTCGCCAAGCTGATATTCTTATTCCGATCTCCTGCAACTCTGATACAATGGACAAGATACAAAGTGAAAAACGATTAAAGTATTCACTTATACCTGTGAATAGTTATTTATACGTATCTCTCTCTACGTGTTGTCCTCTTTCAGTTACTTTTTGATTTATTCATAATTTAAAAATAATTTTTATTAACTTTTTACAACTCTTGCCTTGTTTTAACTAACATTTCTTGTTTAATATTAACTCAATCACAACGTGTTAAGTTATTCATTTCTTTCCCATTTCGTCAATTCTTTCTTTCGGGTTGCTTCTTCTTGCAATTATCTCCTCCCGTGTTTTACTTCGAAGAAGTATCTTAACCAATCTTAACGTTGTTCGTCCGTACTATAGGAGATCATTTTAAAAATAAATAATTTTCTATCTATCTAGAAGTCTGATATTTTCATTTTGCACATTGATATGTTGCGAACACGTAACAATACTTTGACAAAATTAATATGTACATTCTCATATAGTCTCTAGTTAAGGCGTTTCTTGTTTGGTGAAACATCTTTCCACATGTGGCTTTATCCACACATACGTCCAAATAACAAATAATGTACCTAATGATATCGGTATAGCTACTATCCCTGAAACAACTTGCTCAAGTACGAGATGCAAACTACACCACTTACCTAAACTGACCAGACCAGTTTGCAATGTGAAAACTGATGCGGCTATGGCTCCTTCAATATCATTGGTTAGTCACTGTTTATTTTTCAAAAACAAATTCTTCAAAATAACTAACCGCCTGCTGCTCCACCTAATCCTAAACCCAATAGAACACTATCTCCGCAAGCCGTCATAGCAGATGCGCAGCCTGTTACCCGTTTAGCTTCATTCAAACGCTTGTAGCGCTCTAGTTCAGCCTGAAAGCATGGTTACTATGAAAACTTATAAGCCTGTATAGCTGCTCACATTAATTTCTTCTTGTAATCGCTCTAGGAGTTCTCGTCGTATAGATGCTTCTCCTAATTTAGGACACTTATCATAAATATTTAAAGCTGTAATTCCATGTTGAATATGAAGTCGCAACAGCCGTTTCTCTGGTATCATTCGAGTAACAGCAGTTGACTGGAACAAAGTTCATTTAAAGATGTTGTTGTGTTTTATATCACTTTATCCATTCCTCTACAGTAAGCCAGCTTTGCTTCATGAGCCCCATCCATACATATAAGCTTGGCGTTGGCATTCAGAATAGATTGAGGGGCTGGTAACGTCTCCCCATCAAATGATTTTACATATTCCTAATTAATTTTTCTCAGTTTTATATTCACCCAAATATGCACTTACTCGAAAGTATTGCATCATCTTTCTGCACGTAACTGGTTTACCATTTATGATTTTCGCTTTCAAATTTTGAGGATTCAGTAATGATGGCACCATCTTCTTCAATTCCTCTCGAAATATTGGACGGAGATCTTCAATTCGCTATATTGAAAGCTCAAAGAGAATAAGCTAGAGGAAATGAGAGAAACGATGACGTTTTATAGCCTCAAAGTACAAAAGGGAGAAGCAGCTGTACCTTTGACGTGGCCACGGAATGATTGCCGTTCAGCCACTCGATGCCCTGGATGAGGAAGTAAGTAACATAGTGTTTCTTCAAAACACTCTGCTAATTGTTCTCTAACACTACGCAATTCATCTGCTTGCTCTTCTGTTGTCTAGAAATATTGGTTTTTGATGTGATGTTTTTTGATTCAGCTGACCGTCAAAACATTTGCAAGGAATTCCGAGCCGCCTGCTGAGCCGTATCCAAACTCATCAGGATTTTTGAAATCTCTGACACAAAAAACCAATGTCTAAAAATGAAAAGTAGTTCGAAAAAGAGAGAGAGAGTGTAAGCACATACCTGAAAAGGTTTTCCGAACTGACTGACTTCGTTCATTGCCAACCTTCCGTATTCTACAAACAAGGACAAATGTTGTAAAGAATCTTCTTGAATGTTGTCAACAACATTATATATCTTAAAACAGTTGACTACTCATGCTCATTATGATATCTATAACTCACTTGTAAACTACTTAATATGGTCGATAAAGCAAAAACGGTCATGCACTGTTGATAGGTCGAGTTGTTGTCGAACGTCCCTTGTGTGTCCATCTATGTTGTTCTCATAATCCTTTTTCAGTTTGCATTAAAGCTTACCAGTAATACAGCAAAGCTTTCACCATTAGCTCCTTCTATCATGATCGGCTCTCCCCAAACCCATATACCTTAACTATATGCATATAGATATCACATAATTCATATATTAACCTAATGTATCTCGTTTTGCTCCAGCTCTCCAATGAAATCCATGCAGTTGACAATCATCAGTCAACCATTCTAATGTTGTCTCAGTCTGAAAATCATCTGTTCAAATCTCGAAGGCAGTTCATTCAAGTAGCTGACCTGCTGAGACTTCTGCAAGCTATAGAGATATTCGAGAAAAAAATTCAACAAAAACGATTTTCCTTTACGAAATGCTCCAGCCACCGATATGATGACAACCTATAATTGAAATTTTTATTTTTTATTACGTCAAACTATTTTTTTGATTGATGATTTTAGTGTTTGAGACATTATCCCTTTCGTCTTTCATGACTGAAAAGTGAAAAACGGCGCGATTGGAACGAGAAAATCGGAACAGCTAAACCCCCCATGAGCTGGTTCTTTCGACGATCTTTTTCATTTTTCTATACACATATCCCCATTTTTGGATGCAACTTACAATGGTTTTTTGATTTTTTATAATGACGAAATACACAAGATACTACTCACTATGAGAACAGGGCAATGGACAATTGAATGGCGAGCCAGAAATCAGCATTGAAAAGCTCTCGCGTACATGCACTTTCAAGAGACTTTCGAAGAGTTTGAGAATGTTTTTCTCTTTCGAGATAAAGAAAAGATTTTTTCTATCTTTGCTGGCGTGTCTCTTCTCGCTGTTTGCTACCTGTATGATAGTACTTACTATCTTACCGAAGCTTTGGAAACTAGAAAGTTCTTTGCTTATCGGCTGCGAAGCCATAACTACCAAATGTTACTTTCATCATTCAATTAAGTGTCTTATCTAAGGTATGGCCGAAGAATTTCTTTTTTTTTCATCTTCGATGACTTCAATAGGAACGCCAGGGAAGAAGAATGGTGATAGCAGAGAACTGTCTAACTGTTATCCACCCGAAATCGCTAATATCCGCCTCGTTTTCTTGTCCACATGGGTAAATCGGCTAAAAAGCAGCTTCTCTCGATATGTGGGCGTGTCTCGTTCACCTATATAAATGAATGAACTACAAGGCTCAGGTTAGGTAGTCCATTCCTCCCTTCTTGAAACAGGAGAAGATGGATATTGATTCCAAGATCAAAGCGTATAGATTTGTCGGCTATGCCGCCGTTACCTTCTCCGCTGTGGCTGTTCTCTCAGTCTGTGTGACCCTTCCAATGGTCTACAACTACGTACACCATGTTCGTAGCCAGATGCACTCTGAGCTTAACCTCTGCAGAGTGAGTTTTAAGCATTTTCTTCTTCATTTCTGCCTTTGGGCTTTCACACATCTCTCTGCTCTAATCTCCTATTCAGGGATCAGCCAAGGAAATCTGGTCCAGCGTGTACTCCATTAAGGAGCTTCCAATTGCTGCTAACAGAACTGCCCGTTCTGCTTACAACGACCAATGCAGTGGATGCTGTCTCCCAGGACCACAGGGACCACAAGGAACCCCAGGAAAGCCAGGAAAGCCTGGACGTCCAGGAGCTCCAGGAACCCCAGGAAACCCAGGAAGACCACCTCAGCAACCATGTGAGCCAGTCACTCCACCACCATGCCAGCCATGCCCACAAGGACCACCTGGACCTCCAGGACCACCAGGACAACCAGGAGACAACGGAGCTCCAGGAGAGCAAGGACCAAAGGGACCAAACGCTCCAGCTGGAGAAGCCGGACCAAAGGGACCACCAGGACCACCAGGACCACCAGGAAACCCAGGAGCTCCAGGAGAACCAGGTAACATCGTTGAATACGCGTAACAGTTTTCTTACCAATCATGTTTAAGGAACCCCAGCCAAGTCTGAGCCAGTTGTCCCAGGACCACCAGGAACTCCAGGATCTGCTGGACCACAAGGACCACCAGGACCACCAGGAAGCAACGGCATTGACGGAGCTCCAGGAAACCCAGGACCAAAGGGAGCCCCAGGAGACGATGGAGCCCCAGGAAAAGACGGAGAGCCAGGACAACCAGGAAGAGCTGGAACTCCAGGAGAGCCAGGAGAGAAGGGTATCTGCCCCAAGTACTGCGCCATCGACGGAGGAGTTTTCTTCGAGGATGGAACACGCCGTTAAACATCAAACCACGATCACATTTTCCTACATCACAAGTATTAAAGATCTATCAGAGAGATGTTCTCGGAAGTTGGCTCAGTTATCTGGCTACTTTCAACCTCCTTATTTATTTCTTTCGAGATACAAGGTTGAGCAAAGCAATAAATTTGTTCTTTCCATTAATCATTCTTATTGTTGATTGTGTTTGTTTATTAGCTAGTGAGGATTTTATATACTTAATCTGCTCACAGGGCCAATCATTCAGTTGGCTGGGATAAGAAAGGAGGATAAGAGGAGAAGTGGTATGCGAGAGAAAAGACTATTCGATTTTCTGGACAAGTTCATAAAAAGTTCAAAAAAAAGCAGACTGTTAGCCAGTTCCAAAAATGCTGAGATCGAAATGGATGTTGGTGGGATGACAGAAACTAAAACTGAATTGGATGTCTTTTTGATTGTCATCTTCATACATACACAGACGCACACACACATATATGTACATAGTACATATACACATAGACCCAACACATACGCAGACACATGCAATCACATTCACATGTTGCTGCTGACCCGTCTCTAATTAAGAAATCTGAGTAACGGGAGGGAGGGAGGAGGGGGCTGGCTTATTAAGTTGGTTGGAGTTTTGATAAACAACGGAACGATTCCAAACAAAAAAAAATGGAAACAAACCTTTCTGTTTGCAATACATGAATGACCTAAAACCGATTTGAGCGCACTTTCACTCAAACGAAATCGACCAGGATGAGAAGATGAAGGGGCTACAATCTAAAAGAGCACAATGATGAAAAAGGACGAAAAAAGCTAAGTTTAAATTAAATTTCTTTTCAAATGGGGTGAGATAGGGGAAAAGGGATAAAGAGAGTGAACGAGTGAGGAAGAGAGGGATAGAGGTTTAGGTTTGAAGACAGAGATAGTTAGGAAACAAAACCGGGTAAATCACCTGAACTGCTCTAATCTTGTGCCGATGCTCCCATTGCTCTTTCGTTGTGAATTCGGGCACAAATGGAGCAGTCAGCCCAAAATCGAAAGACATTTGTTTTCTGAAATGATTTAATATAAGAAGTTTATAAATAAATGTATTTGAATGGTAAATTGTACGAATATGAACATATTAGAAGCTCTGTGAACGAGTTGAACATGAGAGTCAGAGTATGAAAGAGAAGTGGGATTGAGAGAAAGAGAGAAAGAAGCCACACTGATGGTAGTAAAGAGGACAAAACGATTTTATTTGGAGCTCAAGATGTAGAACATGCAAATTCGGGATGAATTCATCGTGAACAGCTTCAATCCAACATTGTGGTTGCGAGGAAGAAGATGAAGACTCGAGGAAGTTTATATTCAGAGGTTAAGCGAACAGGGAACGAACTAATTTGAAGAGACAAAGACTACATAGAAGAGGATGAGAGCGAAGAGTCATATTCACAGTTGGCTGTTTCATTTCATAAGTTGAAGCTGCAAATGATCAAAAGAGCAAAACAAACTCTTATTAGAATATAATAACCTTTTTTGAGAAATAATTCAACAAATTAAAGTTTGAGCTAACTCAAAAACTCTTCTGGTGGGAAGAGAGAGAGAGAGAGAGAGAGAGGAAGAGAGAACGAGGGAGATGATTAAAGAGAGGGAGGGAATTAGAGGACGAGAGAGATGAAGGGAGGAGGGTGATTGGAAGTGGAGAACAAAATTGAAAATTAGGGAGAGTATGAAAAGAAAACAGTGGCACGGAAATTAGGAAGAAGAGAAAAAAAATGTTGTAGAAATGGTTATGAAATGGGTGAGAGGGACGAGGTAAATGTCTGGGACTCAATGCATATGGAGGGGGATGAAGGGGAAAAAGGCGAGAGAGGGGAGAGGGGGGGGGCTTTAGGGGTGGGTGAAGGGAAGATGGTCATGGACGTCGTCTTCTCTCATCTTGCTCGCACTCCACCCTCTCTATCTGTGTAAACAGAGGGAGAAAGAGAAAGAGAGAATGGAATATAGAAAGACAAAGCATAAAGAGTGTGTGAGAGAGAGAGTAGGATAGAGGGAAAGAGAGATAGAGGGAGAAAAGCCAAAATTTAAGACCAAATATTGCCATTTGACTCCAGTCAGAGATTCACCGTCTTCTAATAAGAAAGAAGACGTGAAATGTTGAAAAAAAAATGAAATTTGTGATTTCGATCGTTCATTTCGTCGTTTTTTCTGCTCTTCATGCCTTCACATTTTATGTCGTCAATTTGCATGGTTTTTGACTTGTCAAGATGAATGTGTGTATGTGTGTGTGTGTGTGGAAGAATTTTGATGAAGAAGCTTGCCACAGGGAGGAAATCAGGAGCTTATTTGAATTTTTGGAAGAAAATGAAGAAGCATTCGACCACCCAGACTGACTTTGATCGTCTTCAATTACATTTCGAAGTTGTTGGAAAATATATATATATATATAAATATTATAAATATGTATTATATAGATATGTCTATATGTGTGCATGTGTTTATGGAGGAAGTGATGTGGGGTGGGGGGGTAGACAACGAAATCTCCAAAAAATGGGGGGGGGGAAGAATTGAGATTGGCAGATAAGAGAGATAGAGAGAGAGGGAGAGAGAGAGTGAGGGAGAAAACATATTTGACTGCATGATTGAAAGAGAATCAAAAGATGTAGAGAAGGCATATCACAAGAAGGAAAAGTAGCAAGAATGAAACATCAAGAGAGAGAGAGAGAGAAAGAGAGAGAGAGAGGGAATGGCTACCTTCACAGATAAGAGGAGGGAGTTTTCATAAATAGTAGTGTCCATGGATTATCTTAAGTAAATCCTCCTGAGGATACATGTGATTATCCCTGTGAATAAACGTGAAAACTTCTCTTTTGGTTGATATAACAGCCCAATTCAAAGCTTTATGTCTTAGTCTGTTTGAAACGAAATGTGTTGAAAAACAAGAAAATGAAATGTTTCATCAGGAAATATTCGTTTCTGTGAGCTTTTCCATAAAAAAAAGAAAAAAGAAGAAAAAAAGTTTTTGTTGTGAATATGTAGATGGAGAAGCCCTTTCTGTGTGTTTGTGTGTGTGTGTGTGTATGTGTGTGTGTGTGTGTGTGTGTTAGGAAAAGTTCACAACATTCACATATTGTTGAAAGTTTAGTTAACAAGGAGACCTTGGGAGTTAAGGTCATGTCACGAACAGCTTACGTTAAGCTATATGTTAATGACAGTTGTGTAAGACATTCATACACATCTCTCATGTCTTCTGTATAGGAGCATATGAAAAAAGAAATTTAATTAAAAATTAAAAAAGAGATTTGTACGAAGGATATGGATGAGATTAAAAGTCTATCTGGCTTCATTCCTCCTCTTCATCGTCTATTCATGGATGAGAGATGGAAGAGAGTAAAAACTTTTTTTCGTCCCTCTCTTCCTATCTGCATATCATCTTCCCTTATTCTTTCTCTCTCTTTCTCTCACTCTCTAACTCTCAATCTCTCTTTCTCTCTCTCTCTCTCTCTCTTGCTCTCTCTCTCTCTTGCTCTCTCTCTCTCTTAAGCATAAAAAACACAAAATTTGTGTGTTGAAATGATGGTTTAATGAGATTAGGCACTTTGTATCTTGCGGCTATGAAGCTTAAATCATCTTCAAAATGAAACAATAGACTTTGCTTTCTGTGAAACTTTTATTCAAATTTAACAAGACTAACATAAAAGAAGAAGAGATAGAAGGGCAGGAAATGATTACGAGAGAGGATATAAGCATATAAGAGGGAGGAAAGAAGAGAGATGGAGAGAGTGAGATGGAGTGAAAGGATATGAAAATGGGAAAGAGAGAGGAGGTGGCGACGTTTAAGAGGGAATGTAAAAAGGATCAAGCATGTTGAGGAGAATGACGAAAGAGGAATAAAAGAAATAGAGAGAGAATTGTATTCAGAGGGAAGAGAAAATGATTCGAAGAGAAAAGATGAATCTCTCAGTACGAAACATGGTGGAAGTTGTGATGAAGAAGTTCACACACACACTAAAGTAAGAAGAAGCACTTCTGTGAATTCTTATTGGAAGGGTAATGAGAGGGAAAGAGGAAAGTCAAAGTTCTCCAAAAAGACTCTCAGAAAGAGCATTTTTCAATTATAATATATAAAAAACTGGAGAATCGATAAATAGGAATAAGTTGAGAGTAATCTGAACAAACAGTTCAAGAAAGCGGATGTGACTGAGTTGTTGAATTTCTGTGCAAAAGCTTAGAAAAGCAAAAATTGAGAGAAGAAGAGAAGAAACGATAAAGAACGAAAGATTTCCGGAATTGTCTGTCGTCTCCACTCTTTTATCCATCTGATCCGAAATCTTGGACGGTTCTTCTCCCCCCCTCCCCACCAACCAACTTCGAGCAAACAATCATTTCCGTTTTTCGTCTTCAAAATGACATTTGTGTTGAAATTGCTGAAGATGTAGATAATAAAAGAAAATTATCATATGGTTCTGCTTGTACATGTGAGGCTAGTTAGTCTTTCCTCCTCAGCAGAGCAGATTATTGAGTTTATAGGTTTTCAAGATTCAATGTTCACCCACGCCGATCACCACTCTAAGATGGGCATCATATGATATCAATAAAAATTGTTATTTCATTAGCTGATTCATGGATAGCGTGTACTTATTTTTCTCTTTTCCAATCAATAATTTATAATATAAAAATTTTATTCTAATCATTCGTTATCAAGTTACATAAGAATAAAATTTTTAAAATCAACATCATTTCGAAATATTTTGTGTTTCAAACTCTCATCAACAGTATATAGAAGAGATGAAGAAAGTTGAAATGGGACGCCTTCTGTTCATACAGTTCGAACTTGGCATCTGCCAGCTTAATTAATTTGGAGACATATGTAGATTTTAACTTGAATAACATGTTTTCTTCCGCTGACCGTAATCTTATCATTTTTTTATCATTTCATGCTATCTTCATGTGAGATAGCATTTATCATAGTCACAGTGATGCGTACTTTACACGCTTCTTTTTTGTTTTTACTTTTAAGGATAGCTGAAGCTGTAGATGAGCCATTATACTGTGGGAAGTACAAATGTAAGTTTATTTTTTCACATAAGATCTCTAATACTACTTACAGGTCCAGAAGAGAATGATGTCGTTTACTATGAATGTTGTGCTAACGATTGTTGCATACGGCTGCATGGAACGCCGATGATAATCACAGCGCTTGCAGTTATCCTATTTATTTGTGCATGTTTACTTGTGATTTGCACTCTTGTACGGCGATCGACATGCAGAAAAAAAAATAAGAATCATTATTACTTTCCCGTACGGTAAATAAATCATTGACTTATGAATATGATCAGTTTGGAGGAAGTATGATTAGATGGGGTTTTTCTGATAGCTGATGATCAACACGCATCAGATCAATCAACATCCTTTCGATTTCCGTAAACCTGTTATATTGAAATGTATAGAACATGTGTAATTCGTATTGAAAGTTCTATTCGTATATGGCAAATGCTTCTTCACCTTCTCATCATCTCCTTCACATTTATATTTCAATTATGTAAATCACAGAATGCAGCTGACTTAGAGTTCTCTCCTTACGTTTTTAAAGCTGTAGATATTCCATTTAAGAATGTTTGTTGTATCTTAACTAAGTTCTTGATCTCATATTACTCTCTTTAGTCAAACTATGCTAAGGATTGGTTAGACTCTGATGTAGCTCTAGTTCAACATCCCTTATTAGGTATTAGTCACATATCCATATCTCATTAATTTTTATTATTTCTAGCTCCAGCAAAACCAATTAAGCCAGGCAATCCAGTCCCATTGCCAACGATAGCACCTTTAGTTGTTTCATGGAAAAACTTGGATAACACACACATCAACGATGAAAACACTTGGAACTTCGAGAAGCGAGTTGACAGCAAAGTCTGGTGGCCTAACTAACCTCATCTCATTTACTATGAGAACAATTGAAAATCAATTACTTCTTTCATCATTTTCATACATATCTGAAATAAACTACAATTTTTATAAAATGTCTTTTACAATTAAACAACAACACCTCATATAACTTCTCCAAGAGCAAATGTGTGTCTTCGGCTTTTTCTATTGAAAATTTGTTTTTCAGCTCATCGTATTCGTCTTTTCTCACCTTCATTATTGATCTTTACAATCTGATTTCTCACTTCACGTAAGCTCTGGTCTCGCCAGATAGTTCAGTGACCGTAGAAGAGCTATAAATAAAGAGAAGCCTCATCAGTTTATAATGGCTCATAATTGCATAATATCTGAATATCATGCATGACTAGTTGGATATGCTCACACTGTTTTCCAGCACCATTGATGATGTAGCCATCGTACCAAGATTTGAAGTGCATTGACGATGGTTCGACGTTGGAGCTAGATTGCCTGTTGTAATATTCATATTCTCTTTCGCTGATCGGAATATCTCCAACGAAACCTTAATTCTCGTCTTTCTAATTATGCTGCCACTAGTTTCTCACTTTGCCTCTCACACTCTGTATAGAATCGATAATGATGGCAATAGCACGTGGATGTAAGGCTTCAAACGATTGTTGAGTTTCAATGTCCACTGAGGATAGCCAACAGCCAAATCCTGGATGGGAATAATACCTTAACATGTGGAAATGAATGAAAGATGTTATTTCTTAAGCTAACAAACCGACTATCCTTCCCTTCTTCCCACTTGTTGTAATCTCTCAATCATTTAGTTCTGATAAACAGGATCTATAGATTTGACAGAAACGCTCTGTAAAGATGTCTAGTGGATGATTGGCATATAAGAACTTACAGTCGCCTTTTGTGGCAAAGCAAAAACATCCACGACATCAATGGAATACTCATCAATGAATGTGCCCAACAACAGTCCCATATCCTTTTTCTCCCGTTCATATCCCTTTCATTCGTTTTTCCAATTACCTCAATAGGAATTCAAGCTTGACAGTGTTTGAACATTTTGATTAATGATAAACTGCTCATTGTTAATTTTTCAGAAGTATCAGGAAAATTCAGAATTTCCGACACATTTTCTTCATTCGCAAAACGCCTGGGAATGGAATGTTAAACTTCGTTTTTATGTTTTTGACTGAACTAATTACTCACTTCCTTAGATACTTACACAATTACTTCGTAAACACAATCTCCCTATCTTCCAAATATTGTCAGCAATTCCTTTGATGAAATTTGTCTCCGCAAAAAAGACTATTTTCATATTATCATTTAATCTTTTTATTTACAATAAATTGACCGGTTCGGTTGTTCGTGTGTATGTACCTTTAGGAAACTGTGTTCTAAGCAGATTTTATTGAGATAGTCGGTCCCAAAACAACTGTGCAAAGTTCGTCATCATTTGAGGAACTGTTTGAATATGAACTTTGTTGTGGAACATTGTATTAAGGAATTAGATGATTTATTTTAAAAAAGCAAC